AAATTAATAATGAAGCAAGACATTTTAAATATGCCCGTATCGGTCACGAATTCATCACTTTGCACAACAGAAAAATATATTGTTATATTATTTGTTGTAAAAGTCGACTCTTAACAGGTGGCATAATCGCGGCGATGAATACGTATTTTCAATTTACTGCTAAACTTTATATTTATATTCATTGTATGAAATGAATTATACTCTACACTTAACAGGATTTTATATCATTATTTGAGATTTTTCTAACGGCAATAACGAGTTGGCAAGATTGCAAAAATTCGTATTAAAATTAAATACATCAGGCAGTTTATCTCGTACTTTTAGGTCACAGATCGCCGTGGACCGAATAGTAATGTTTTTTTTTTGACGTAAGAAGAAGCAACCGCGAGTACGTTGGACACATTAAATTAATATATAAAGATATTTTAGAAACTCGTAGTTGTCATGGATTGAATATTTTACGTAACCGGATGATCATTATACGCTGAAAAGACGGCTCTTTTAACGAGCGCGGAATCGCGGTGGGTGTTACCAAAGTCACTTTGGGTGTTACAGGCGGCAATGGGAATTTCCGATTTCCAAAATCCTGGCTGCGCGGCTGGCAGTGATGGTCATTTATCCTCTACTAATTTATTTCCAATTTCAAACACGACAGTATGTTACACATAATAACAATATGGTTCACATAAATTAATATACAAATATACTGGTAGTAGTAGAATACTCTATGCTTAAATATTAGAACTTTTAAAGGCATAATGGATTTTCGATTGTTGTTGCTTGTTTCAGTTGCCTGCATTGCCAATAAATTTTATTACTCTCAGAAAATATACACAATTATCTGAATACAAGTAGTATTTTTGTCAACAGACTTGACTATTATCATAATATCATAATATCATAATATCAAGCTCGCGGTTGCTTCTTCTTACGTCAAAAAAAAAACATTACTATTCGGTCCACGGCGATCTGTGACCTAAAAGTACGAGATAAACTGCCTGATGTATTTAATTTTAATACGAATTTTTGCAATCTTGCCAACTCGTTATTGCCGTTAGAAAAATCTCAAATAATGATATAAAAAAACCTATTAGTTTAGGCGCGGCGGTGTGGCTCAAACGGGCTAAGGCGTTAGGAATACGCTCGCCACCGCACCTCTAATTACTCTGCGTGGGTTCCGCAGGTCGAATCCCATGCAGGGATGGTTATGTGCGAGAGGATTGCTGGACTCCTCGCCGTCGTTGGGTGGTTCACGTAACCGCTGGTCGGTTACGGCTTCCTCCACCACCAAGTCCATGCTTCCGAAAACAAACAATACAGTAAAACTAATCCCATACCCGACTTGGAATGGTAACCGGACGAGAGGCCGTGGTTCACCATATGGATAAGCCGTCTTATCGGCTTTCCTCTCCCCCGGGATAAATATGTAAATCCTATCCTATCCTATCCTGGTACCAATGATAGAAAGCGTCAGACAACTCCTTGGCTATCTTTTCATATGGTCATTTGTACAAAGTGAATAATTTTAATAAACTGACTGTGTCACAAGTTGCTATTATTTTTTATTAATAGCTATAAACTATCAAATATCTTGTGTACATATATTGTTGGTTTGTGGCTTTATTCTGATATTTTTATTGAAGCTTATTTCCTAATTTACTGGGTTTTAATAAACTAAACAAAAATGTGTTATTTTCGATTTTAGAATGTATTCGGAATAGTTTAGTATTCGGAAATGGCCATCCCTGTCTCCAACCTATAATGGTACAATACCGGTCTCGTAACTTGGTTAAAAAACATGACTGAATACGAAAGGGAGATTTATTTTGTCAACCAGAATACAAGCATTGAATCAATAAAAATCATTTACAAAACACACAGTTTTTCGGTATAGACTGGGGAGCGATACGACCATCACAGTCAGCTCCCCCCTGCCCCCCATGTTTGCTATCAAGATTAACAGTTAATTAAGATGTTTTAACAAAAACTCCTCGGAGGAAGGGTTGACTAAGTTACGGAATATTTTTGGATTCGGTTAAAAATGTAGTCCATTATTAAACACTGCCATTTTTGTAGATTTTCACTTAGTGGACACTCAGCAAGTACGACAGTTAATTTATAAAAAAAATTGTAAATTAATAACAAATCAGTAGAAGTCAGCTCGGGTATTCAAACATGTGATGATTGAAGTGAGAAAAAAATTTGAAGTCACGTTTAGGATATTACATTAAACAACAATGGAAAAGGTACATTGGAATCAGTCAAGCTTCAAATGCTAATGGCAGTAATGAAAAGAATATGCGAAATGAAGACTGAAGTTTCCATCTGAGACATTGGAAGACGCTAAAACCTTATAGACTTGATAGTGTGGAAAGCGTTCTCACAATGCAGTAATAATGGGACATATATTTATAATATCATTATACAGGCTTTAAGTTGAACTATATGTTTAATTAAAATATCTATCTTTGCTAATAAATGCTGAAAACCATTTATTTCAATCTGCTGAGTGATTAGGGCCAGAAATTTGCTGTAGGGACCATCACCAGAGCTGGATTTACCAATAGGCTAGGCAGGCTGAAACCTAGAGCCTCGAAATTCGGTTTCAAAGTTTGTAATTCTTTTGGAAACTTGACAAGTTTAAACCCAACGAAACGTATATAATATATATCAAGCTTTTCAGAGTAGAAAATTCTGTACACAACTGGTTTCAACCACAGCATCATAATAAGGGAAATTATTATTATGCGCATTCTGCTGGAAGTTTCTATGTTAAAGTATGGCTGTAGCGGTTGTTTGATCAAAGAAATTGAAAGCAAAACTGCCTCAAGTAAATTATCATTCTTTTAATTAAAAATTCACACCCATGAATGGGGAGAATGAAAAGTTTAATGCTTTCATATTTTTAAATTTTAAGCAATTAAATGTGGTGTTGTTTAGAGAGAAATTCTGAGCTCAAAAATATGAAGGGGCCTCTCATGGTCTAAATCCAGCCCTGAACATCACCAATTTTGAGATAGGTACCGTACATGGTAGGTACCGTCAACATATGAACTGAGTTAGGCCATTGGATTTTGAAAGGTGTACCAGAAATGTACATGGAATTCATGAAATATATAACATCCAATTAAAACCAAAATAGGTCTTTCGTTGAACGCCAGTTTTGGCCCCGGTGCCGGTATTCCAGTATTCTGTTATCACAAGCAGTTGGAGCACATATCCCACAGAGCACGGCGCGTTGGCAGAATCTCATGGTCTAGTGAGAATGACGGCATCGGAAACACCGCGCTCATTAAAATTTCAATGAACGATTATTAAAAATCTTGACCATGTTTATCATAATAAAAATATCAAAAAAGATGTAAAAAATATTCTATCCTCTAAACTGCTCACGTATACAATGAAAGATATCTAGAAAATTACATAAAATGCAAATTTCTGCTCTGGTGATCACATTCCCCATAAGAGCTAATGTTAAAAAAATATTTTTTTACATCACTTATTTTTTTGCGCGTAGGATGGGTTTTTAATGAATAAGGTCTATTCTGATATGATTTGATTTGTCCACTTGCTGAGTAGCACTATTAATTCGATCAGCTCGACTACATCTCAATTACTCTGCTCTTTTTAGCCTATTCCCAAAAGAAGAGCCTATTTCTTTTACAGCAAAAGTCCCAATGAATTGGGATTTTAAATTTATTTTATCTCTGGTCATTTATACAATAATTTATAAATCTTGTAGATCAAGAGTTGCCTGAGTTTGTTGTTTTCTCATCCAGCATGCAGACATTGTTTTCCCTTCGCAATGCACTCTGCTTGGGAGAAAATATCATTAGCGCTGACATTATTAATATTTGCTGATTAACAGAAAGGTACTTGCCCTTGCTTGATTTATTGCTCTGGTTTTTGATTGCACTTTGGAAAGATTTCGAAGCATCTGTTGATCTCTTTTGTGTCACAATTGCCAATGGTCTTTTCAAGTTCATTAGTGTGTGAAGCGATGTTCACATACTTACTAATGAAATTTTATCATGCGTACCACCTTACTTGCCTATGAAGAATGAAACTGCTACTAGGTTGTATACATTGCAAAATTGTTACCCTTTGCATCAGATACTAGTACTCTTGATAAAAATAACTTTTAGTTAGTTTACATATGGGTTATATCAACAAAAATAAGGACCTATGAAACTGAAATGTATAAAAATAATATGTGTTTATTTTAAAAAGCAAATGTATTCAATTAAATTTGTCATTACATATTGATTAGTTTTTTAAGTTTAGTCTTTTCATGGTTTGCTATTTCTGTGAATATCAGTTGTGTATAGAAGCTGTTTTGTCTAGTGGATTGTCTTGCACATGTAATATTAATAGGCTTATTAAAGTCTAGTCTGGTTAAATATCAAATACTTATTCTTCGACTAAATACTTCTGTTTTGGGAAAAATTTGCCAGTTTTTTTAGATTAAGATGCCAGGATAAAAAGTGTTTCATGACTCTTGTGTGAAAATGTACTAAGCATAAGTATGGATTGCTTGGAATAGCTCATTTCATGGAATAATGAGCATATTTGTAAGATTGCATTAGATCTTATAGTCTGCTTTTTAGACAAAAAATATAGCTTTATCAAAGACTAAAATAGGATGGAAATTTTCTAATTGATCCTAATACTATGATTATAGAATAACTGGGAGAAGACTGATAAAAGATTTAAGAATAAGTTAAATAAGATTTTTTTATGTTGTCTGGCAATCCATTGTGATGGAGTGGCTTGATGTTTTTATTGTATTATTAATAACGAATGTTTGAAAATCTAGTAACTAGTTGGTACAATATTATTGAATGCTCTTCTTTGTTGGATTTTTCCATTCACAATGCTTTCTATTTAAAATATTACACTTATATGAGGGTTTATTTTTTTTACGGTATTAATTAATATTTGCATATGTTATTCAGGATTCAGTGACTAAACCAGATTCAAAATAAGTATTGTTAAGCCTTTTTGATAACCTTCCTGTTTTGAGGTCTAACTTGATACTTGGTATTCAGCCCAGCTTCATAAACAAGCCAGAATGCCCTTCCTTTCTGTCATATATAATCATGTTGCTATCATCTACCGTGCACTATGACAACTCGTTGGTCATTCCGAATTCGTACATTGTCGCATGATGGAGGAACCCTGAAACGTACAAATGCTTTGAAGACATGGGTAATCATCTGAAGTTTTAAGTACTTTGTAATTATGGTCAAGTTTTTTCTCCATCATCTGCACCAGGCCTGCCCAACCTTTTTCGTCTCGCGGGCCACTTTCACATGACAAAATTCGTTGCGGGCCGCAAACGTTTGTACCAAACATTAATACCAGCTAAGTCCTGATTTTGGTGTAGGTAATTTACATAATACGTAAAAGGCAAGTTTACATAAAATCAATCAATTTATTAATTGCTCTCTGGTTACTGAGTAGGGCTGGCAAATTATTCGAATATCAAGTCGAATATTAGAATAGCAATTTACTATTCGAATATCTGGTAACGCGGGGCGTGGACATGACACTTGCGTTTTTGACGACCACACGAGAACATACACATCACGTCGAGATTGATTGTTATATTTGCGTTATAGTGTTTTTATTCATTCATTTTTCAGTAGCTATGATACTGACTCAATGTTTAAATGAGCATAATGTGCGTCAATGTCGTGGGAATATCAAGTTTAAGTGGGCCGTTTCGTAAAATTTGAAACATCTACCGTATACAAGTATTTAACGAAGTAACATTACAAAGATTTCTGCATGAATAGTCCATATATACTGATTTGTGACCAATATGCAGCAATGCCATTAAGTCAATTTCATCAGAATTATTGACGGATACACAGTGACGACATTTCCGAAATCTTATTTAACCCAAAAATTAATTAAATAAAAACAAACAAACATAAAAGGACAACAAGTCTAGGGACCAGTACCAAAGATATGTGATTGTTGACTTCTAATTTTACGTTGTCGATAAATACGATCAAAGCAGACACGTAAGAAAATAATCAAAACGAAATTAATTTGCAAATTTAGACTCAAATTCATTCCTATAATTGCACTCAGCATTCGTCCTCAATGATCGCACAATATCTTTCGAGTTCGTCGAACAGAACGCTCAGTTTTGTAAGAAATAAAAACAACGTGGATGTCCACAGGGTGCAAGCCTTGAGACATACGTAATAACAAGAACCGGCATTTGAATGTAGATAGATGGCACGAGTATTTGCCCCAAAATCACGAAACATAATTTAGCCTATATATTTTATATTTAACATAGTAAAAACATAAAAGTCTGCTTACAAACTTCATAGGGCGGGCCGTGGGTTGGGCAGCCTTGATCTGCACCATTTGTATTGTTCTAACGTGAAGCCTAACTGTTACAGTTATGATGAACTGCATGAATTATTGTATGAATATCGTCAGAGATCAGGTTTTTGTGATTGTTGAAACAGTATTATGTTAAAAAATTACCATTGTTTAGTTTTATTACATACCTAAGTGGATAAATTGTAGACATTTGTCAGGTTGCCCAAAGAGGAGTGGCCTTACTTCATACCTTAGCCAGCCATTTATTCCCATTTTTTCATTATTAATTAACATGTTGTTAAAGGTCTATTATTCATATATGAAAAATATCCCTGTTTTACATTTAGCATAGAAACATGACAATCTTCTTGCAGTAACTTGCAACCTATATTTTTGATCCAATTAAAGAGTCCAGCTGCACACTAACACAAATGTATTTCTGTAACGTTTCGTCCGACCAGAGTCAGACTTCTTCAGACAAGCAGTTTACAACAATTGTTGATTGTTGTAAACTGCTTGTCTGAGGAAGTCTGACTCTGGTCGGACGAAACGTTACAGAAATACATTTGTGTTAGTGTGCAGCTGGACTCTTTAATTGAATAGAATAGTCATCTTTATTCCAGCTACAGTATCCTTGCAGTATACGCATACGGATCCACTAGCATAAAGGCATAGAGAAAAGATAGGAAGTTAGTCTCGCGCAACCCAACTCAAATCTATATTTTTGAGCATTTATTTTCCTTATTAACGCCATCAGTGGGTGGAGTGAATTAATATCAACACATACCGGTAGTATAAATACTCTTCTGCTCGTCGTCGAGAGTTTTTAACAATATAATATCATATTTCCTATAGTGCAAGATGCTAATTTCCCACGCTGTCCTATTGTATCTATGTATTAATTACCGATAAATCCAAAATTTCAATAGAGATTGTCATATGGTTGCTGGTACAAATTTCAGAACTTTTTCATGCACTATAAGTACTATACTATCAAGAAAGATACATTTTTACTCAATATGCAGGTGTTCTAATCGTGGTGTATAATATAAAATCAGGAAAATACTATGAGAACCCAACCTGGAATTATTAGTATCACAACTTTTCCTGGATGAAGTGGGTTTATATTTCGTCTGTCATATCAATATAATTATTTTCCAATATATCAAATGGATTGTGCAACCCAGCAATTATGATGCCATCTTCCAATAGATCTTTTTTTGATGACGTCTTCAAGGCAATAGATGAAATATACCAATTTAGAGTTTAGTATTCATAGGTGTTTACAATGTTTTAATGTTAGATTTTATCAAATATTAGCCTATTTAATAATGGCTAATTTCGATTAAAAATTATTGTATGTATGACCATAAACAAAGAGGAGCTTTAAAATTCGTTACATGTGATATAGTAGATTCTTATACGTATGCCAGCAATATTGGGGATCATTTCTATACTCATTATTAACATTCTTTCAAAATTTGTTTTCGATGTACGTTGGATAAGATATTTGATATTTAAAATAAATTAATGACGCCACTATTTAAATGTGAATGAATATATCGTAAGTGTACATAAAGATCTTTTCAATATTATGTTGTTATTAGAATTCATTTTCATGTTCTTGTTGTTACTGTATGAAAAATCGCTTTTCTCATCAATTACTGGACCAATTGCTTTGAAATTTTCAGTGGTTAAAGATTTCGTTTCTCACAGGAAGACTATTATTTTTTTATCATTTCAAAAATTTCTATTAAAATCATTTTTGTGTAGGTTGCCGTCATCAAAAATTGCGTACCTTGTGGCGGTTCCGCTTTTTCGTTAGCCGTGGAGGCTGTCGAACCGATAGTCTACTGTGACACATTCTTTGTTTTGGCCTTTGTGTTCATATATTTGGCCATCGCCATCTTGTCCTCTGGATAATTCATTCCCACATAAAATACTGCATATGAACATTTTGCTGGTAGTGTCGTTGAACTTTCACCTGAAGCATATCAAAATTATAATGAAGAAGCCTTGGGATTTATTATTAGTTGAATAAATGGTTGAATAACATAAGAATATTCAATTTCAGCTTGGTGAGCGTACTGCTACTCCTCGTAGATACAGTGCAAGTACGTTCGGAGATATGGCGGATGACAATGATGTAGATTTGTCGGATACTCGTTTCCAGAAAGGAATCGAAGAAGTGAAGGATGATATTCGAAAAGAAATTCGGAAAGAGTTAAAACTAAAAGAAGGGGCGGAAAACTTGAAAAAGGTGTGTTTTCAATATTCTGAATATTACTCGCATATATTTGAATTCAACAATGCACAAAGCAAATTTATTTACTGCAATATAGTTCTCTTTTTAAAAAAGTTGCTACTTTCGAGTATACTATTATTAATCATATTGGTACCATCATGGTACACCCACTACGGGAGTACCACCTAATTTTCATGCTAATGGTATGAATTCTTGAATTATAAAATGTTTAATTTTTAATTTTTTTTTGTATTTTTCTACATCTGCATTCAATCATTAATTATTGATGTTGAAGGTTAGCAGTGTTTCAAATGTTATTAGTTACAAAGTATTTTGTAGGATAGTTGTTTTATAAAGAATGTTATAGTTCTAATAAAATATGGAATCAAACTACAGTATTGGGCACCTTCCCTTCCATTGTTTTTAGTAATAAGGCATTCGATATTTATTTATTACGCAATAAAGTTAGTTTGTTCCTTTGAGGCTATTTCATCATTAGCGTGTACTCTGATATATTTGTAACTCTATCTTGTACTCACAGAAGATTTTTCACTTTCCAAATGATTTCGATTCAAATGACTTTGTAATATAATATAGATGGCATTTTGGCCACCACTAGATGTGTTCAGTCCAATGATTAACTAATCAATCGTCCTGTTTGAACTGCAATTTCTAAAAATAGAAATTTTGTTGTGGAAACATGGAATAGGGAATGACATGTGTGTTCTGTCATTTGTATTGTTTGTTATTTGTGACATGGATGGCCCTTGTTAGATTTTTTAAGTTTTAATCGAATGACTGTGATATTGACTGATTCCTTTTTTGTGGAATGATAATTATATGTCTTTAACATAAATTATAAATTAATGGTATATGAAAACAATTCCAATTTTGTGTGCCATATCCTGAAAACATATATCACAATAGAGTGTAGGATCTTAAATATTTTTAAATTTAGTAATCTTGGCATTGGTTTGTGATGAATCCATGTTCAATATGCATGAAAATCATACGACATATGCCCTAATATTTACCTCATTTCTCATTTTTTTTAACCAGGGATGGGATTCTGGTTTGAAATGACAATCACAATATATTTAAGCTGTGGCCATCTTCGAACTTATGGTCAATGAGGTTTTTTAGTATGCCCACTAGCCACTATCATCAAACATCAGCCCAAATGCAGTTTCCAGAGGGCTCAAAACTGTGATATAATGGTTTTAAATTTCAAAATCAAACTTCAATCTTTGAAATACACAGATTTAACTTGGAACTTCTAAATTGATATTAGAAATTAAATTTTAATTTTGAAAAATTACACTGGAAACGGTGGAATACCAAACCATATGGATATTCAATTCTGGCAACTTTGGTTGGGCATTTTTGGCAATTTACTACAGCTATAATCAGCTTGGCAATATATTTTTCAATTTACTTTTACTGTTCACTCCCATTTATAAAATCGATCAATTCGGCAGTGGCAAACATAAATTTATTAATATGGTGTGGCAAGTAATTTTTATTTATTTATTTAGTTTTTTTAACTACCTGTATATAATTTATCATGTTCTTCTTACTTTAAAATTTCGGTATGGCTGTGTGCGTGTGAGCGTGTGTGAAATATTTCCATTATTTTAGGTGAGTGAACACGTACCACTTCTTCTTGGTAAAACCTCCCATCTTGTATACATTCTGTACGCTTTAAAATAAACCATGTCTAAGGTTTTGTTTGCTCTCCTGATTTCATAATCATTTTTTATTTATTTATTTTTACCAATCATTTTATTGTTATGCTGATCATGGAGTCGAAATAAACTTATACTTATATACTATACTTAATTTTCCATGATTAGGTTACAAACTTCAAATTGTTTGTCAAAGTTTTCATTAGTAATTCATTCTAGTAATCTAGGAATAAATATCACCACAGTGTTCACTATTAGCGCACTTTTTTAGGGACTGCGAAATAGCACTTTTTTCCGATTTTGAAAGGAAAAATTTCAAAATTGAAAAATATGTTCATGTGAGTCTTATTAAGTTGTCAAATAAGTAACATACCAGTACTTTTGTAACTCAATTCTGTATATCATAACGATATTTACCGGAATTCTAACCTATGAGATGCAGACATAGAAGATAAAGAACCTCAAAATTCTTGTTAATAATATGATTATTATACAAGCACGCGTATTCCGCTTCTCCCGCAAAACGCTCCGACAGCGTAATCGCGGTGAGTTAATTTGAACGAGAGTGTGGTCATGTGACATCCACGAATTGCCACAAAATGAAACGATTTTCTGGTGCAAGTTTGACGGGCCTTTGTTCCCCTCTGGATTTAGAAAGTTCTGAAACCCGACACGACATTATTTAGTAATATAATGTACGCTTATGCAATTATTTTTTGAATTAGAAGAAACTTTGCAAAATCATCAAATTCACAAAACACATATCATATGCCTTATTAATAACAGCCATTGCATTGTAACCAGGAATGTTAAAATCACGTGGCATTTTTCGGAATTTTGCGACATTGCATCCATTTCTCATTGATATGCGAGGTTATGATATTAATGTCCAGAATATTTGTGACCGTAACACAATTAAAACCGACAGACTTTTGCCATTACGATATCTTAACTTTATTATTTAGCGCTGATAATGATAAATAAGAATGTGTAATTGTTGATTGCAATTCCGGAGGCGTATTTTCCTTTCTCTCCATGAAACAGACATGAAACGAATTTTACCGCCGTCGTGGGTGCATAAAAGAGAGAAGGGTTATAAGTTAATTTAAGGACGTACTTTTCCCGACTCGATCACTTTTATGAATACGAATCACAGCGCATTGAAAAGACAAATAGAATTTAATAACATTAATTTACAATGATTTACGGGTAAGAACTAACCTAGGGTTATCGCTAACAGGTAGAAACGATAAATGTAAAAAAAGAAATTCCCTTGCTTTTTGTGTCCTAATTTTGCACAGAGCGTGTCAGCACCGTTTTTGTAAATTTAGAAACGTCGAACCATGCAAATAATGTATTTATGGAAATTTCTCGAGATATCGGGAAAACATCCTTTTATTTCAACCACCTAGAAATGCCATTATTGCCGATTCATTCACGAGTTTAATATCAGAGTTTTAACTCAAATCTGAGTTACGTGAATACTCGACACTGAGTATTCAAGAGATTACCAATTAGCGGAGTTTTAAAATATTATTTTTTTTACGAAAGTTACACGGACACGATCTAAAATGAAAAGCATAGAAATACCGCCTCACAAATAGAAACTATCCGCCTCACAAATATCGCATCCCGGGGACAGTAATGGTAATATTGTTCGCCTAAAAAATTGCTCATAAACTGTGATACAAATCCTACACAGAAGATAAAAATCAGAATAAAATTAAATTGTGTTGTGAATGCACTCCGTAATAGTGGTCTTTAACATCTTCGCCGATGTGAACTCACAATTCTGTCCGAAATATAATATATTTTTCTCGCAACTAATCACACCGCGCATGTAAATAATCATTAAATGGCAATAAAAAATCAACTTCATTAACAATAAATTCCAAGTAATAGTTCCACATTTCATGCATTTGATCGGCGCTACATGCGAGCGCGTTTTCGTACATACAAACCATTATGAGCAATGTTCCCTCTAATTTTTTGTAATATGTGTGCGCAGAAATTTTTGTGTGTGCGCACTTTTTTTGAAATGACTAATATTTGTGCAAAAACCAATGAAAAATTTTGGCGTTCTAACCGGGTGATAAGTGGGCCAACAACAAACTTTCTCAACCTGCCAACCGAGAACATTGTTACATTACATCGAAATACGCCTGTGCGCAGTAAATCAATGCGTGTGCGCAGCCTCTGAAAGCTGTGTGCGCGCGCACACGCGCACACCTTAGAGGGAACACTGATTATGAGGCTACTGATATCTGCATGTTATAGTTCTCTCTAAAATTAATTTTCGCGATTTTTAGTGTTTTATTTCTGAATGCGGATACCCGCTGACTACGGATAAATGGTCGATGTTTAAAATAGGACTTGCAAAATATTCACCAACACCGACAGGCAAAGAAAGGTGTGCTATATGTAACTGGAATTTCGCTGTGAACGACCATACCTTTTAGTTTATTAAACGCATTATGTCGTCGTGAAACACACTTTTGGTGCAATGTTTTAATTTCAATTTTCGAGAATCATCCTCGTTGTATTTCGTGTTCCCTCGCAAATTCTGCCTATATATGATGTTTTCTACCCGATTTTAACTAACTCGCACGCAAATCAAGGCATGCCGACATTTTAAAAATTGCTTGTCTTTGCGTAAACTCTGAAATAGTATAACATTAATGTAAACGAGAAATTAGGCTAAAAGCTAGTTTACGATCACGAAACGGGGAAAGATTTTAGAAGTGATCTTGTGTAATATTTAGTTGAAAAATTTTGAAGGGAAAGTACCGTAGGTTAACTTATCTCTTAAAACAGCGGGTGGTGTCTATCAAAATGATATTGCTTAATATATCGGAGAAGGAGTGAAAGTAGGTTAACCTATCTCGTAAAGCGGGAGATGACTTTCAAAGTAATATTGTGCAATATTTTGGAGAAAAAGGTTTGAAGGGAATGTAGGTTAACCCTTTTTTTTCAACAACACAACAATCGATAAAGAATGAAAAAGGGAGCCGGAGAAACATGACGTCAAACAATCTTATAAAACTGGAAGAGGAGGGACTACTTTCAAGCGTATTCTATCGGACGAGGAAGCGTGGTATACTAAAACAAGAATAATACCAACCTGATACCTTAACAATATTCAGTCCATATTTTTTAAATATCTATGGTATCCTGAATACCTAGAGAGTATCGCTCGGAAAACGTTGCTCCTTCCCGTGAGAAAGGGCGGAATAAGTATGATAGATATTAAACTAAAATCTCATGCATGTCTTTTCCAAAAACTGACCACAATACTTAGCATAAATGCCCCAACCGAATTCTGGCACTTCGAGGCGCTATATACTCTCGGCGCGATAATAAGAATCTTCGACAAGTCGCTATACAACAACTCGGCACCCCATGCACTCCAAATTGACCAGCACTGGCAGCATATCCTGAATATTGGTTATATTATGGACCTTGGCCAATCCGAAAGGGAAGGAGCAACCTTGCGCTTTCTTTACGATAGGTTGAAAGAAAAGTCTTATGAATTCGACCGAACAGAAATATGTGAATGGCCAAAAATACACTTAGCAGATGACCGACTAAAGCAACACTTTTCAAATGCCGAACGGCAAACGTCATATAGGATTAAGAGAGATGGGTACCTCTTTGGCCACAGGAAGTGGAGGTTTGGTATATTACGAAACAACGAAAACTCTCACTTACTGAAATTGAACTACAAATTCTGTAGAGAAAACCCGGATACCACTCCCCACATCTTTCTGAGGTGCCCCCAATATCTAAAGCTTCATAACTCAGTTAGCCAAACACTGGAAATTATAACAGAGCACAAATTACCATTAAGTCGGCAACAAATATTCGACAACACTTTTGAAGATAAATACCAACTTGTTGTACTCAAAATTTTCTCTGTACTAAAATCTGAAGTCATCCAACTAAAAATTGAATTAGACAGGCAAAATAGATATGGAACCGTCTGCGATATAGAAAGTGTATATCAAAGAGTAATATTAAAATTTACTCAATATATGGACAACATAATACTTACGCTTGGATCAGCCCAAATATTTAAACTCAGGTCAGACTGGAAAACTCTACTACTTCAGAACAGAGTAGCGACTTAGCCCCCCATAATAACTGCATCCCCGCCCCCCACAAACGGGAGCGAAAAACTGCTAATACCATCACAACCCCTACGGAAATGATGAAAAGGTAGCTTCACGGTGGATGTCATGCTGTGTGCGCGCTACACGTCTTCACACAGTATGTACGGAAGCCAGGGCAGCGGAAGTTGAGCTATGCATGGCATTAACGGAAGCCCTGGGCTAACGTCATGCTATCTGGCAAATAGCATGTACAGAAGCTCGGGGTCGAAGTTTTTACCGTGCAATGCATAGCATATACGGAAGCTCCCAGATATGTATGACGGTCGTGTACCCCGCGACATGACTACGAAGCGTTAGTACCGATGTGACTCGGATATGACGTGTCTTTGAGACACTGATCCGAGACCAGAAAACTCTGATCCGTAAAAAAGAAAAAAAAAAAAAAAGCGTGGTATACTAAAGCGATAGCGCCCAGATTTGACCTACCTACGAGGATGGAAAAAGTTTTACATAGATTTATTATGATAAAATAGGCTTAGCTTAGAATATGAATCATCGCATGGTGCGTTAGTGCGCAATCAATTTGTGGTAGATTAATTACAATTCCACTTCCTAATATTACGTTAAGCCAATTTTACCCGTATTTATGAACGAGGCATTTACCACTTTACTTTCTTAGAAATTACCTTAGTAGGCATGGCAGAGAAAAATAAACAACGACATGATATTTTAGAGCTTGACGTTGACGCTTGGCCGGAGAAATGGGAAAGAGAGTTTCCATATATTATACACGATAAGAAAACAGGAACCGCAATCTGCACGTATGTTACTTACATTTCTGAGTTCATTATAAGAAAATTAGACAATATGGACCTTTGATCGAAGAATTCACAAACAAGGAGGCAGTAGTGATGGAATGGCAGAATCTTCGTCATGATCTGCATATTCTCCAATTACCGGCTATGGAGAACATAAGTTCTAATCGGTAGCTACCATTTGTATTTATTTGTCGTATGCTTCTGATCTCTCATCCAACACACACGCACTTGGCTTCGAAGCATATGAAACCTAATTTAATATATGCAAATAAATTACAGGTATGCAAGTACTTAGCGGCAGCGCCCGAGTACCCAGGCTTTCAAGTGCTGGACAAAGTCCTGGGGGGCCGAACGAGGGTTTTCTTCAATAAACATAATTAAGACGAAACACAGGTAAAAATTATTATAACAATTTTGAAAGTATGAGAATTTGAGAAAACTTCTTACTTACTTATTTAGAAAATAGGACTATATTTGATATTGATGAATACCACTTTTGTAGGAATAGGCTTAGCAGCAGACACCTAACAATGCTTCTGAGATGTGGCGGGGAGACATCCATAAAAGCAGACAAAGCGGAATCATTCTTCATGGATGTCTTGCAACATTGGAAAGATTCCAAGCTACGTCGCCACGAACGGGCTGCAGAAGCCACGCCATCCATTTTTATTCGTTCGCTTTTGTATTTTTATTTGTGAATAAAACAAATGTGTGAACTGTGCTATTTTGTTACTTGATATCGAAGCCTTGTAACTTTCTCTCGTTGAAAACAAGGGTTGACCCCCGAGATATTTGGTGCGCCACTCATGCAAAATGTATGTTATGATTTGAGAAAAATACCGTCGTTACTTTTTAAATAACAAATTGATAATTATCCGATTGGTTCTGGCTCCGCCTGCAAATCCTTTTATGCACAGACCTCATGTGGAAACACCATGTAACAGTTATCTGAAACAGCGAAACATTAATGTAATCCTAAGGCGAAGTTTGGTATCGATCTATGGCCAGCAGTAACACGAATGTGCAAGGCTTTGCTGGTCATTCGAGCAATTGACTCCGAGCAATTGACTCCGGTGGTTGATTGCAGGAAAGTTTCGTTCATGACAGGTGTGCTAAGCAGGTGTCCTTTCGTTAGTGATGAATTTGCTTCAAATCGCGACAGGTGTGCTTAGCAGGTGTCTTTCCTTGCCGATGAATTCTCTTGTTTTAATCAAGATTTAAAGGAACAGAGAAACTCTTTTTAATTCGTGAAATTCACAGAATGAGCGCTGTTTCCAGTATTTATGTCTGAAATGAGTTATAACAAAAGCTAGGGCACCTAACTTGTTAAAATCGAAAAAAGCACTTTGTTGTTAAAATCGAAAAAAAGCACTTTCGCACTTTTTTTTTCGACTGCGAAGCACTTTCGCACTCATACTTTCCTCAGAGTTAACACTGTATCACCATCCATATATTATGATAATTTAAAATATGCGAAATGTTTTTTCTTCTATCAGGCAACCACAGACAAGAAACAACTTGCCAATGTTGAAAACCTTTTGAAGAAATCCAACAGAAAATTAGAAGAACTTCAACAAGAAATGAATGAACTTGATGCTTATCAGATTGCTAAGTCGGGAGATGGAACAGATGAATCCAGAGGTATATTTATATATACTATATTTTCATATAAATTTCCATTGTTCAAATAGTTTGATATTCTATAACAAGGGAGAATGAGCGCTGAAATTGAACAGATGGGCAGACAAGCTTTACTGAATAAATGTGTTCTCCTTTATTTAGAATGAAAAGCAAAATTTTTGGTGAAATAGCAGGTCGGTTGCATAGGACTCGAGGAAATTAAAAAAAAAATAAAAGCAATAAAAACCTCCATCTTCATTATTAAGAACTGAAAATTTGAAATCGAATCACCTCTGAAATCATCCATTTTTCAACTTTGTATTAACTGCTGCATATAAGACATTCTGAATACATTTTTCATTTGAAAAATCACTGTGCTGAGCAGAATACTATAATATTATAGGCTAGTATAGTGGAATTCACATAAATAAAGATCAGTACTTCTTATTGTTTAGGTTCCACTACCAGCGTTAAACTTATGTCACAAATTTTCAAATATTTTGAAATGACCAAATATACATTTATCATAATGTTATATAGTAGCTATATTATTACATCATGACAGATGCACTTGGGTAAAATTCAGTTCAGGAAAATGGAAGTTCTTTTTTATATGATCAATATTTGACTTCCTTCTCTCATTAAAATTTCGGGATAATTTTGTTAATCTTATTGATTTTTGGATAGGATAATGTAATGGCTGCCTGGAAGAACGTTAATATAATTTCCATTCAAATTTACTTGCATTGTCTTGAAAGTTAGCGTTCATTGATTATTCATTACAAAAGTTTTAAAAATGGATTTTGCTAAAACTACTGATCGTTTAGGAAATTGTGGATTATTTATAGTGTATATCTTGAGTATTATTGTCCATTATAGAAAAAACTTTGTTTTGAAAAACAGTATGGAAGACTTAAGTATTGGTTGTTGTTTAACACTGCTATAACACCTAAACGCCTTATTACGTTTCTATATTTTTAAGTCACAACTAATGCAGGAAATGTGCAATAGCATGACGTATATTCAATATTACTATCTAGATGACACAATATTGAATTGCAGAAATTATATATATCTGTCAAGTCATACATATATAATATTTGGTATTGGTGATTTTCCGCTGATGTTCTTTGTTTGCATTCATTGCAGTTTTAATTGCAATATATAAATAAGCGATATATATTGTCTGCAAACAAATTGTTATATTGCAGCATAATCTTATATTTTCAATATTGTTTTGTTACCGGGCAAGTTTAATTAAAGCTAAAGATTCAAGTATTGTTAAACCTTTTTTAAATGATAGTTCAGAATTCTCTATGAACTAAACAGTTTGGACATATATAGTTGCAAGAAATTCTTGGCTGGCTTACACTTTAATAAGAGTGTGATTAATTCATTGGCCTCAAATTGCCATAAGAAACAGCAAATAAAATATTTTTAGCAGGAAAAACTGGAATTTTTAAAACAAATTTTCATAATGGATTACTATGATAATGAACTGTTCATTTTCCAACATTCTGAGAAGTTTAGATCTTATTATTAAAAATAAACATTCAGTTTGTCACTTTCTTTTGTGTGATTTCATTTTAATTGTATTTTATAGCAAACCCAAGAGTTGCAGCACTCGAAAAACAGCTCAGAATTGAGACGAAAGTGAAAGAAGGAGCAGAAAAACTTTTACAATCGTTTAATATGGGACATAGTAAAGTGAGAGTTATTTGTTATTCGTTATTATTTATTGGAGACCTATATAAAAATGAGTTGGATCCTAGATACATACTGGTATTCATCTGGTATTCTTTCTCTTTTCCATCAATGTTGTAAATCGATGAATACTAGCTGGTTTACATATAATTACCAGTATATTCATTCACTGGGAATGAATTAGAAATTTCATCTGGATTATTTTTCAAGATTCGTGGTGAAAAAAGTTTTTTCAATATTTAATTACTTCGACATAGACATCCCCTTTAAAAAAAATTCAACCTTCAAAGAAAACACACTGCCCTCTGTAACATTATTTGTTACTGTTATTGTCGTGGAATGGAGAATTGGTACCCAAAGAATTCTTCAAATATGTCTGAAGTACCAAATTTGCAGTGCATTCAACCCTAGAAAATGTGTAAATATAAAAAAAAAACTTAGATTTAAAGTCAAACTTCCTAAAACAGATTTTTTCATAATTACTTCTATTGCTAGATATTTTCGATTCATACTTTGGCATATCTAATATTTTCATTCATTTCACATAGTATTTTCATCAATTTTTATTTTTGTGAACCAGGATAGAAAGATGATTGCTACAGCCGAACAAATGCTAGCTGAGAGTAAAACCAAAATTGAAGTTATCAGAATGCAAATATTAAAAACAGCAGCTGCTCACGAAAACAATAAAAGAAAATCACTAATGCCTACTGAAGAAGAAGAACCTAAAGGTACAGTGGAACATTACTATTTAGTTGTAATAGTAAAAGTTTCTTTTCAATAAAAACATTTTTTAATTGGATATTGGATGGTTTAAGTAGACAGAGAACAAAGCATTTGTGTTTACAAAAGTGTTGTCAAACACTTGTGCTATCATCATGAATTTTGATCTTCCATGGTTCAACTTAAAATGCTTCTTTATTTACACAATTAGTGATGTCAAGCCACAGGTTTTAAACTTTCTAACTGTAGTTGATTTGATTAATCTGTGACTTACCGTTTTGATTCCATTCATGCCATGTGTTAATGGAGTGTGACAATATCATAGTGGAAATCGAAATTAATTAGCGTGAGACGAGACCAACTGCTACTACCTGTCTTTCTATGCCGTTGCTCTTCTCTTTCCTATGCGTATTATGCATTGATGCTGTAGCTAGAATATAGATGACTATTCTAATTCTAACTGATTCAAAAGTCTTGTCGCACACTAACATGAATGTATTTCTTTGACACTTAATAATAATCGTAATGAAATATATCTGAGGGAGTTTGACTTCGGTAAGACATAACCTTTGAAAAGTCATGTTACTATGTGGCAAAATATTTGATCACATACAATAATAAAATTGCTCGTAAGTAAATATGACCCACTATAACCTTTTTGTTCTCTACTTTTTAATTGGAAAAACCACTTTCAAGCTTGATAGATTATATGCTAGAATTCTACTAATAGAATTTAGAGTTTTAATAATAAAAAAATATAATGATGAATTTTATATTACAGAACGCAAATCAAAACGCGAACTTGAACCGAACTTGCCTAGTACGCCAATCAGTGATCCATTGTCTCTACGTATTGCTATGTTGAGGCATCATATCAAAATTGAAACAGCAATCATGGAAGGCTCAAGAAACGTTCTACGAATAATGAGTAGCCAGTCACAGAAAAACGTAGATAAACATGCACTTTTTGAAGTAAGTTGAAGCAGACATGTTTTTATACAAGTAGTTTGTGGTTTCTGCTAACCACGGGTGTTCAAATTCATATAATTTACTATTCTGAATACATTTTAAAGTAATGTTCCCTAATACGGAATATTCAATATCTTTTAAATTGCGCCACGCTCGACAGAGAAATTAACAGAAAAATATTAAATTTAGTAATGCTGCAGGGTAGTTAGAATAAACAATTTTTTATTGATTATCAAGTTCTAAGTGAAGTGAAATTCATTTATTGTCCGGCCATCAGATCAAATGCTAAAAATTATAAATTCTTAATGAATGAAATCTCCAAAATCAATTTTAAAATCAGGAATTACCCTATCGAATATAACCAATTTTGTATGTTTCTGAATTTATGATCGACATAATTGCAGATTGAAATCAATCCAATCGATGGTTGCTTAATTTTCCATGTTACAAAATTAATTGTTTCTGAATAATATATTGCTTTATTTGTTATAAAATAACCAGGGCTTTTTTAATCATTTGTCAACAAATAAAAGATAATCCTATTTCTTTTATTTTTATATGATCATTTAAATATAAATATTCATATATTGATAGTAATATCATATTCAAAGGCACAAATCAAACTTCAAGAATCGTCGCAAAAGCTTGACTTGCTTAAATTGTCACTCGAGCAGAGGACGGCTGAACTTCCTCCCGAGAGTAAACAAAGGAAAGAACTGGAGCAGGAGATCAACTCAATTTCTCCTGTTCATCATCATTCACATACATCAAAATCTTCTTCAAGGGATAGTGCCAATGGGAGTCTCGTTAATACTTATTCTACAATGCCCAAACCAGTTGCTCTTACAGGTATATATCCTACACTTTTTTGTTTTGGATTTGAAAAATGACATACTGTTGGTGTTACATCCATGGCCAATTTGTTGGCACAAACACTGCATTGTACTGTGGTCAAGGTTCCCTTTAAGGTGCCCAACAGCGCCATTGTGCAGTACCAGACAATCTGTGCAATAAAATCTCATTCTTGCGCACCTGTAATATTAAGTTTTCAAAGCGTGCCTCCCCATACTTTCTAACACCTGTCTAGAATGTCTATATATATCTGTTTTTCGCGAGTATTTTCGTTACCACTATTCATTGTGATGTCACACACGTGTCTGTTACGTCTAGGTACCTGGATTTCTCATGAATCATCTGGAGCTCTTGAGAGCTCTTTTAAGCCAAGCTTACAATGCCAGCGAGAGGCCGGTGCCCGCGGTCCAGCAATAAACATGAACAAAGTGTATAAACATTAGAAAATCATGAAAACAAGAAAAGGCTTTTCGAGTTAAATGTGTAGGCCTACGTACTTTGTTCGCATTCTGATAACATATTATTGTTGGTACAGTACTTTGCTCAGCCTTGATATATACATGCTCACTAAAACAAACAATTGTGCACAGGGATGGCCAATACCGAATAGTTCACTATTTCGAATACATTCGAAATTATTTTTTTCGAATATGAAATTTCGAATACTTCGAAAATAAAATCCACTAATTGAAGCTTATCTAAATGTATGTAGGAATTTCCATACAATAAGCAATGGAATAACTGCTATCTACAAGTTACAACCTAGCTATATTACCAGGCATTTCATATTTGCAGATTATTGCAGTATATATTTGATATACCATGAGTCATGTTAACAGAATTAAATTAATAGGACAATAGTGGTATCGATGATGAATTTGAATATTTGCGCAACACAAAATCATCCTGGTAAAACGCCCATACTTTTAAATACCAACCATTGTCCAAATTATTTGTCGAAAAGCGGGATAAAGTATGAGGTGTTTTTCCGACTTGTGACAATTTTTTCGTGAGTACAAAAATACGAATCGAAAATTAATTATATTCGGGAATTTTACCACACATTTCAAGTCCGCAGATCACCGTTGTATGTTGGAGTAATAATACTTTTATTATTTTATAAATATGAAAATAGGAATCAAAAACTATTTATAATCGGGTAGTTTACCACACATTGTAAGTCCACAGATCGCCTTGTAAATACGAAAATAGGAATCAAAAATTAATATTAATCGCGAGTTTGCCACACAATTTATGTCCACAGATTGTCGGGATATTGTGCCGAATATAACTAGTTTTGATTCTTATTTTCGTACTCACGAAAAATTGTAACAAGTTTATATTTTATCCCGCTCTTGGGAACTAATTTGGATAATGGTTGCCATTGGTTTGTATTTAAAAATATGGACTTTTTACTAGGATGATTTTGTGCTGCGCAAAATATTCGAATCCATGACCGATGCCTTACCGTGTTAATTTAATTCTATTATCATAACTTCAAATGTTGGTAAATCGGGCAGTTTACCGCACATTTGAAGGCCACAGATTGCCGTTGCATTTTAAAATTATTAGTTTTATTATTTTGTAAACACGAATCCGAAATTAATTATAATTGGGCAGTTTACCACGTATTTCATGTCCACAAATACCCGTTGTATTTGGCATTAATACTTTCATTATTTTATCAATTTAAAAATAGGAATCAATATTCAATAATATCGGTCAGTTTACTACACATTTTATGTCCACAGATTGTCGATACAACCATGAGTTACGTTGAACAGAATTAAATTAATACGGCATGACATTTTAAATGCTGGTACCAGTCATGGATTGGATTATTTTGCGCAAAAAAAATCATCCTGGTAAAGGATCGAATACTTTTAACTATCGTTATCAGAATTATTTGCCAGAAATTATTTTCTAATAAATCGACTTGCTTTTCCAACTTGTGACAATTTATTGGATATCGTAACAATGACGGCTATAAATACCGTATTTCCCAGCTAATAAGTCTATATGGCAAATAGGACGATGTCTATTTTTAGCACTCAAAAAAGGAGTTTTTCCATATAGGCCTCCAATAAGACGGGTAGAAAAATTCGCTAATAATTTTATATGTTTCAGAACCAGATCATGTTAGTTTGGTTAGAATCATACTCACAGAACTAACTATTTTTAACAATTGAGCAGTAAATTTAAGTTGTAAAGCGGCAATCATTTTAGACAACCTATTAACCCGAATGTTGAAATAATTTTGGAATGTGATGATAAGTACTACACTGTATGTCCACGGGTTATTTCACAGCTGTGTTTTCCTGTCCCTGTCGTGTTTTGCTGAATCAGCAAAACGAAAGGGTCACAAATCACTTTATCTCGGTGGCCGTGTTCTCTTTAAAGTAACGATAACCGGCCTGCGATTAAATATCATGATTGGCAGACCCTAAGACCCAAATATAAGGTTACACACATCATGCTTGAGAAGACTCAATGCGAATAAAAATTAGGCCACATAGAAATAAAATAAAGATACTTTCTCAATTTTTCGACGTAATGGAAATGAATTTGTAAATTAAAAGCCTCGTACACGAATGTCGGCAATGTCCACCCTCGCAAAAGTGCAAATGTGTCGCAACACTATGCGCCCTACGGTCGCAAAGAATATAAACAATCAAAGTTCCGATTCTATTTCATCGTCATTACGTGAGACAGCGTAAAAAGTCGTTTAAAGATTCCCGTAAAACGAAACACCACGTTTACGGCGAAAAGTGGCTACTATTCGGAATTATTCGAAAATCAGCCGAAAAGGTATTCGAATACTTTGATATTCGAATACATTCGAATATTCGATTCGTTTTGGACAACCCTGATTGTGCATTTTAATATTTTCTGACTGCGGTCATATTTGATGTTTATGCCAACTGTAAACAAGTATAAGAGTCACGAATTTACATACATGAAATTGAAAATCAATAATCATCCGAAATTGTGATCAAATTGTTAAAGTTAAAAAAATTTAAAAAAAAAAGGATTTGTTTATTATCGTTTTAAAATTCTTAGCTTAGCCAGTATCATCTGGTCAAAATGAGGTAAATGATGGAGTATTAAAACATATGACTTGATGAAATAAAGCATCAGCTACATCCCACCATAATACAAAGAAACTCACTAGGTCAAAAAAGTAAAAAAAAGGCTCAACCTGTTAGAAAGAGGTATTTGAGGCCCTGCTATTTTCAAATAGGCTGTGTTTCTTTATACTAGCTTCTTGGAGATATCTCATTGTATTATCCAAAATTTGGTTAGTCACGGTTTGTTTTTAGACTATGAAGCCAAAGCAACATCCCATGGGCTGCATTTATTTTTTTTACTTTAACATTCTTCGAAAGTTATCCAGGCTTTTTTTACAGGAAAATTGGAAGTGCGAATTGTCGGTTGTCAAGATCTTTTAGAAAACGTACCTGGTAGATCCAGAACAACATCAGTTCAACTTCCTGGTGGAAATCCAGATAATAAGGGAACATTTTTGAGAGGTGCAAGTAAAAGTTTCCATGGAAGATCTAGCAGTAATAAATATACAATCAAACCTGACGATATTTCAAGTAAGTGACTACAATTGAATAAATTGGTTCAGTCTGGAGAAAAGCCAAACCTGAGAGGAAGTGTGATGAGACGAAATAATAATAATATTGCTTGGTGAAACTTTCAGTTAGAGTAATTTCCTAGTGGTTACTACTTTGGTTCTAGCTATTTTTCGTCTTAGGCTTCAGGATCAAACCCATCCTTCCGACCACGTTAGTTTTTTGTATCTGATATTTCAGAGGCGTATACCCAATGGGAATTTCCCTGTTATCGTATTCAATATGGATATTTTGAAATGTTTTGCTGGAAAATAGTATTTGATTATTGAATTCTTCCTGGCAAAATACTAAATCTTACAAATTGTAATCTTGACATCTCTAACTTTGTAAGTAAATTTAAATTTTCACTTCACTTCAAACTTCATCTACAGGTGAAATAATTGCTGTTTTGAAACTGGATAATCAAATGTTCTGTGAAACTACATGGAAACCAATTAGTCAACAATGTTGGGACGGCAGATTCGTAACAGATTTAGACAGAGTGAGATGTGTTTCTGAGCTTATTTCTTTTTTTCCATAGTTTTTTCAATGAGAAATCCATTCAATGCACTGTTTTCCAGTCAGAATTATAGATAGTATATCTCTGACTGACGAAGTGGAGACCACATGTCAAAAAGCGCGCTGAAACTTGGGCTAGGAGTGATTTTCATCTCCTGTAACATGTCATGTGAGTGGTTGTATCTTTGCAGGGCTGGAAAGCTGGTTTGAAAGCACAATGGCTTCAGCTCCTGTTCCAGAGTTTCATTTTTTTAAAGTGGATCTGGGGCCTCGGCTACATAGCCATTGAACTTTTTAGGTGTGACCACTACCATAAATATCAGCCCAAATGCAGTTCATGGAAGCAGGACTCAAACTGTGAGGATTTAAGGATTTCAAATGTTAAAATCAAAATTTTGAACTTGGTAATTTAGAAAAAAAAATTTGAACTGAAAAGGATAAATTTTTTTATTTGTATTAGTAAATTAAAAGTGTGAAAATATAATTAGGAGTTGAAGCCACTAAAATTTTAGTTAGCAGTACCTTCGCCTCGTATGGTAAGCTTGGGTCCAGCCCCAACAAAGTGGCAGTTCCCCAGCCAAGATCCGTGTATCTGCCTCTGGACTCGTATCCGTACCCATGTACTAGGTTGGATCTTAGCGTTTACAATAGTCAGCCATATCTCCTTTGTGATTTCTATTTGTAAATTCATGTATAGAATGATTGTCTATTTTGACTTTAACATTTTGTTCAGGCTAGAGAAATGGAAATTTCTGTATATTGGAAAGACTGGAGAGCCATGGCCGCAATTAAATTTTTAAGATTGGAAGACTTTTTGGATAACGAACGACATGGGATGGCACTTCATTTAGAACCTCAAGGAATCCTGTTTGCTGAGGTATTTTACTTGTCAATTATTGGTTTATTCTTTATAAAGTATCGGAATTTGCAATTATTTGTTCATGCAGTAAAATCTTACAATATGTTATGGTAATTCTCAGAATTTGGCATTTTTGCCTGCCTGAGTTCTGTTGGAATTAATCCTATGATGAATAGAATCTCTCTGTGTTACGTTCCAGGTTTCAAGTTTTCATATGTGGACACATCCCAAGTAATATCAATAATTTAATATCAATAATTGAATTTATATAAATTGCTTCCACCCACCTTAAAATTGCATGCAGGCACAAGGTCTAACATAGTGCAACATTTGCTGTTGGTTCAATAATGAACCTTGAATATCTTCAAAAACTTGATCTGCTCTAGTCATAGAAACCTAAATACTTGAACTCGGACTGAGCATCAAAGAGATTGAAGTTGGGACTCTAATAACAACATCTTGGACATTTCTATCCACTATTTAGTGAATTTTTAATAATAAAACTTTGAAAATCATGTTTCATTTTGAAAAATTTATTTTTTATTGACAGGTAACATTCAGCAATCCTAAGATAGAAAGGAAACCAAAACTGCAAAGACAGAAAATATTCAGGAATAAAGGTATATTCTTATGTGATCAAAACTTTATATTATACTAAATATTTCTTTTCAATATATAGGTACTAGAATTGAGTACAGTACTCATTATAAGTTTGATAATCTTTTCACTCATGAATTGTGTATTTTCGGTCATCTGTGATGGCGCATTAATAACTAAAATACGTTCTTGCATACAACTTTATTGAATGCATTTACATAAACGATTTATTTATGATCACCAAAATAAATTCATGATCACATAAGATATTTTTATCTGTAAAACTTCTATATTAATAAGCCACTGAAATTGTTATTGTATCGAAATGGAGCTTCATTTATTTATGATAATTGCAGAAAATAAAATGTTCTTCAAATTGTTATGGATTTATCTAGATTTCTTAGTTGAGTATGTCCTAAATAATATAAAAAGAAAAAAATTTCAAGATAAATTCTTAACAGTTGCCTGTTTTTGGTTTCACCATCATGTTTACTCATAGTAAGCATTGATGAAAAAATTCTGCTTTATTTGCTTTACATTCTAAAATAATAGTTTTGATTTCCAAATACTGAATTCATTCTAAACTGTTCTAGTATCAAAAAAGGTTCAGAAATTATTGGTAGAGCTCGACCGATATCACTTTTTGAAGCCGATATCGATATATCGGCCAACTGGTGGCCGATAACCGATATCGCTATGCTGATATTAATATAAATCATATTTTGAGCCACGCTTTTATGATGCACCTTGTGAGTCTGTAGTTTCATTTTGATATTTATTAGGATGGCAGTAAGACTTTGATTTAACTAACACCAGTTAATGCTTGAACAAATGTTATTCTGTTACTTTTCCTGCTACTTCAATATCAGTCTAGCTATTTCCAGGAAAAAGAATTGTTAATCTGACGTTTTTTATATAACTATGGGCATATGTTAAGGGTTTTAAAAAATTATAAATTGATATATTTTAAAGTGAATCGTGATAATGATAAATTCCTTCGATAGTGTGATAGCACATGTGCAGGTACATGTGAAATTTTTAATAACTTTGCTTCCAGAGACTCTCAATACCTTATTTAGTCAATAATAATGAATTAAGTTTTTATTTTGTAATTTTCAGCAAAATGATAAACAACCATCAATATAGACAAAACTGTTACCCCAGAAATTCAAAATTGAATTTGGGGAGGTCACAAATTCGGAACTGACATTATTGCTTCGAGCTATCTGTACCATGTTTCTATGATTACTAACTCACCAGCTTCCAATCGATTCTATTTATAGAACCATCCTTTGATGCCATTACTAAATTTGCCTTTTTCTCATTGTGTACTCTCTCAAAAACGTCACTTATTAAAACGTCATTGTTACTCCAGATAATAACTTTTCAGTTATGATCATGCATGAAATGGCTAATCATAAGACACCGGGAATTTGGAGAGACACCTTTATAACGCAAAATGAAAGCGAGAGAAATATTGGGAAGCCGCAGCCCGGCGCTTGCCGAGTATGGCCGATATGATATATCGGCAAACACGCAATATCGGTCGAGCTCTAACTATTGGATTCACTTACATATTTCTTTCAGCAACAATTTCATGTCTCAAAGTGGTTAAGTTTAGTGTAAAAGTATTTGTGAAAAAAATTTTTGATAAAATTGGTTTTCTGAACAGAATGTTTGATATAACTTAATATGGAATGAATGCTTTGTTAATTATCAAATTTGGAATAAATGAAATAAAATGAAAATGTCATGAAAATAATCAATGTAAACAAATATTAGAATAGTAGTAGTTTTAAATATCAATTTTTCTATACAAACATTAATTTTCAGTCTTGATATTGTGACTCTTTGCCTATGGTACTTGTTTGCGTACTCTTGTAGTGTGTGTACCAGGTTAGGGTTGGGCCATACTTTTATTCCGAACGCCCTTTTTTGAGTGCTTATTAAAGAGTCTTTCTACACACCTATATAAAGTTATTCCTGTAATGTTTCATTTGGCTGAGTTTGACAATTGACATCATCACTATCAATAAGTTTACCTTGCTCAATCTTTCTTACCACTTATTCCTATATAGGTAAAAGCTTTTTACGTGCTAAACAAATGAATATAAATATTGCAACATGGGGAAGATTGATGAAGCGAGCTATACCTCAAGCATGTAACACACCAAGTACATTCAGTCCACAAGAAGGTTCCCAGGTTCGGGGTCGTCCTGTGTTGGTTGATGTCGATCGATTTGGGCAAACAGATACACCAGGGAAAAGGTAGAATTCTTGTATGTCTAAAACACCGATTTACAAAATACTAAACATTTGAAATTGGAATATTCGTAAAGCTTTTATTAAATGTGGAAAAACCTATCAAGTTTCATGATTTTGTTGTCTTCGTTTTAACAAGACATTTGAGGGATCTATTAAATCGCTTTGACTACTGTAATTGTTGCTTCGACATGGCAATAGTCAACATGGCAAGCTAGTGCCCTATTTTCCAAATTCCCAGGGTCCTGAAATGAGGTCAAAGTTCGGAATTCGAACGCTAAGAGTATCAGTTAAATTTAAAGCTGAAACGGAAATTAGCTTTGCAAACTCTTCATATCCTATTTTATCATACTGGAGAAGTCTTTTAGGTCTATAATTGCTTATCCTATTCGCTTTAACACATTGGTCTGGGTTAAATTATACTAGTTTAAGACTTCTGATCACTGGATCAGAATATTAAGGTTCATTCTGTTAATAAGACATTACAAATTCACTGTTTACTGATATTCTGTGAGTAGTTTGAATAGAATTACTTGAAAAGATTGTCTTGCATTGAATCATGTTTTAATTTTATATTATTTTGTCTCAAAATATTTTGTTCCCAGACCGCTTAGCGAAAGTATTGCACACAAATTGGAATTTCAAGTTACTCCCTCTGAGTATGCACAAGTTAGGAAATCAAAAGAACCTCTCTCTCCGCCACCCACACCAACCATTGCACCTATATCGGAACAAAAAATTGAAAATGGTGCACAAAAAGCTGCCACAAATGCACAAAGAACTCCATCGATGATTTGGCATGTACCTGGAACATTACCAAAACAGCCTGATAGCGGGGAACCTGAGAAGTGAGCATTTTTTTCCTAGTTTGGGAATTCGAATTGATATGGAAATAATTCGCGAAATACAAAATTTTGTTTTGGAAATGTTCTAATTTTAATACTTTTATCAGTTTTAATGCTACTAATGTCTTAGAAAAAAAGTTAGTGTTGGCCCCTAGCCCCCTAACATAGTTGGCAAGTTGGTTATTTCATGTTCGTACCCTGTGCAAAATGTTTATCATGCAGTATCAAAGCAATTCCCTTCCCCAATCATAAAAATTGTTTCAGATACAACAACTTATGCTTGTCAAGATGCCTTTTTTCAAATAGGAGGTATGAAATATAACATGAATATAGCATAAATGCAGTTCTAGACTTCTGCTATTCTATACGATGTTGTATTCAGTTCTCTATTAAAGGAGTAATTCTGGTATAAAGGTTTGAGGATAAATAGATAACACTCTTACTTTTCTATATAAAATGACTGCATTTCAACTGAAGCAGGAACTCTGCAGATAGGTCGATTGTGGTTTATTTTCTTGCTTTGTGAAAACCCTGTTTATTAAGTTCTTAGACCTTGATTTGCCTCTTAGACTTCTGACGTAGATTTGGCCTACATTGGAGATGATTTTTGTGAGCAGAAAACGTACATGGCCAATGTAGCTGTTCACCACATAACAGATTGAAACACCCTTTGTTGCACAATTAATGTTAATTATACTCTCACTGTGGTCTGTGGACAGACTGTCTAGCCTAGCGCATTTTTTCATATTTCACTTACAGCACAGTCGAGGGGTAAATTTTATGATCGAATCTTGCCAAACTGAAGTACTGTAGTTGTTGTAGGTTTGTGTGGAAAAAAATATTATTCATTTCATGTTGAATGTTTGTTTTTGCAACTGTTGGAACATTATTTTAAGTTGTTTATCATTATTACCAATATTTGTTAAGGAAATCAAATTGGTGAAATAATATTATTAAACAAGAGATAATGAATATGGATTAAGATAATAATGGATAATTGTTATTTTACTGTCATTTTTAAAACCGAAGCCCAGAAAATATTTGAATGGCAATAATAAAATAGCCTTGTATGAGACATAGTTGCAGAAACACAATCATTTGTCCAAACAACAATATAACAAAACGACCTATGGGTCACAGTACATTCATACTTTGTTTTGTTGAATATGGCTATACAAAATTGATGATAAGCAAAAATGTTATGGCGCAGATTTCAAATTTGTAAAGAATGTATGGTAGTTTGAAAATAATTGTGAAATAATCCAATGCTCTCAAAATGTTTTTTTTTAAAACCAATTTCACCTTAATTACATGTATATGGATATCTCTTGTTATAATTGAAATACATTATCCTTGATAACACAACTACAACTAGCATACCAATTTCTCTGACACAGGAATATTATGTTCTCTAATTATACTTCACACAATATACAGTCAGCTGATAGCAATATCGCATATTCAGGCCACTCTTGATGAGAATTGATCATACAGAATGTTTTGATTGATAAAAAATTTCGAAAGCGCAGGTTGCACACTCAATCATAACAAACAATTGCATCACACAGTATTCTCATGATTCATGACAGCGTAGGTTTATATCATGTTTGTCCTTAGATTCATACCTACCTGTCATTGCACAAAACAGATGCTGATACTCACCGAATCATGATGTGTGTATTAAAGTTAGGTTCAGGACAATATATAGAAATGTATATTCAATTTACTAATGCATTGTGTATTGAACCTCAAGCGTTTTCTCCTAGCTTTCTTCTTACTTCAGATCTGTATGTAGCAGGTAGTAGCAGATTGATAAACAAGGGGCAGCATATTTCTCTCACCAAGAAATTGTGAATAAATATATGAGCTTTTGTAATTTTTTCAGACGAAACGAGATATAACTTAATTATCATTATAATTATTTCCTTATTAAGTTATATCTTTTTTTGTCCGAAGAAATTGGACTATACTTGTTGTTTCATGGAAAGATATTATGTTATTTATATGTATATTGGTTATTTGAATGAGTGAAACAGTTCGTCTACTTCAAGTCAGCTCCTGAGCAACTGGCTTGTATTTTGAATGCAATAATTTGTTTAAATTGAAAAATGTATTTGACAAATTGGTTGAATATGATTAGAATCTTGGAATGCTTGTTATCATGCTTAATCATGTTTTAAAAATAGTTATTTTCATTGTGCAAGTATTCATGTGTTTGAAATTTTCTATCCTCTGCACTTAAATATCATTTTAATACATGCTTGTAGCAAATAAACCGGGTATGAGATGGAAAATGAAATCATAATAACACCAACATATTTAAAAAAAAAATAACTTTTACGGTAGGCTACTTTCCTATAGGATTTTCATACAATAATCTCTTTATAAAAAAAAATACAACAATGTACTTTTGAGTGCTATTGTCGAAGTTTAATTTTATGGTTTGGCTTGTTTATATTTGCACTGTATTGATTAGTATCTTTAGATTTTCAAAGCCATGCACCATATGCATTCTATATAGCAGTCATTTTGCGGAATCGAAATTCTTCCAGAGTTTAATTTTAATGCAAATCCTTAGTTAGGAATTACAGATGACTAAAATATTAGGATAGTAAGATAATCATAATTGCACATTTGTCAGACTTTGTGTGATAAATCTATTCTTGTATTTAAATTTGACAAATTGGGCATATATTAGTACTAAATTTTTATTATACAATTCTGTAAATGGATTCAGAAAATTCAAAAAAAGGTTTGAAAGGCCTAGTGTATATTGTATGAAACTAAATATAAATATAAATTTAGCGTGTTTAAAATTTCTTCAGATTTAGTTATGTTATAATCTGTTATGGTCATACAAGATTTTTCTTATTAATAATTAGGATGGTTTAAATGGTAATTAAGCGAGGGTCAGGCTGTACTTCACTGTGTGTGTATGTGCTACAACATAGATCCGAAATGCTGTTATTCCAACCTTCCAGAATGCCAGACTGTTTCGGCAATGTAGAAATAGTAGAGGTTGCCCATAAAAGACGTAAAAAACATCTATTACATCGAAGGTATATGAATACTTGTGGTTACTTTGTTATTAAATTACCAGTCTTCATTTATCCAATTTAAACAAGGCACAGATATAATAAAATTCTGAAAAGGTCAGATTATGCTGTCATAAACATTTACAACAATAATACAATACATTGCTTGGGATCATGGTATATGTGCTAACTTTTCAGAGTAAAAATGTACATTTGAAAATTGAAATGTTTTTTATAGTTGTAAAATGCTTGTCTGAAGAAGTCTGACCTCGGTCAGACGAAACGTTACAGAAATATATTTGTGTTCGTGTGCAGAAAGACTCTTGAATTGAATAGAATAGCCATTTACACTCTTGCTACAGCATCCTTGCGTAATATGCATACGGATCCACCTGCGCAAAGGCATAGAGAGCAAGGAAAGGTAGTTAGTTTCACGTAACCTCAACTGTTAGTTATAAAAATTTTGCATTAGCGATATTTTCCTTCTTTTGGCTTTTATTTATGCATACACAAGTCTTATATTGCTAATTTATTCACTGCAGACCGGCATTCACAGCTTCACGACCTTCTTACAAGAAAGCAGTTCATCCGGAATCTCCCTCTATGACCGGAGAAATAGGGGTTAGTCTTTTTGCCTTTTTTATTACCCCTAACCTAGTCAATTCCCTCCAAAAAAATTTGAATAGTGCTAATTTTCTCCATTTTTTATTTCTTTTTTTTTTTTACTATAATATTGTGTCAACCATATCTCTTGTAGGACCAATTTGTCAAATTCAAGCTGGTTGACGATGGCAAAGCATCACCTGTTCCTGCTCCGAGACAGCCTGGTCGTGTTGAAGATATCACAAAATCACCTCCGAAACCAAGTCGTCGATCTGCAGCTCCAACTAAATCTTCTAAGTTTGCGTAAGATGTGTTTGTTAATGTATCACTATTGTGTTTCCTTTCAAAGGTGCAGAATATCTGTAATATGAAGATTACAAAAACTGAATACTTGGAACTTATTAGATAATTACAGTTTATGAATTGAAAAGAAATGTAGCTAAAAGGCTGATACACTTAGTTCTTATCTAGATACTTCATAAAATAGTTGAACTAATGACTTTTTTCAATAGGGATGCTTGAATCATGGTATAATTTAGTTTAGTACATACAGTATACATCCGATTATCGAAAAGTTTTTTAGAATACAATACCTCTGGCATAGTAATTATTTGGTTTTGGTCATTTCTGTCTATTCATATCTTCATATTTCAAATTGTGAAGTCAAGTATCTAATGTTGTTGATGTTATTAATTGAATAAGCCTACACATCAGAATTAGTTTAAAATCCAAAATTATTCAATTCGCTATTTTCCAATTTTTACTTCCCTCAATCTTGTCTCAATTATTACTAGGAGAGCATTATTTAACAAAAATATTTATTTTTATATAATTTTTTTATTATTATTCAGGTGAACTATTAAGATACTTTTCCATTCGCATAAAATTCAAAATAATTAATATCATAGGCAGGTTTAAGAAAATACGTAGGATGTGAGAGTACAGTGTTTCACCTGTTACCTATTGACCTAAGATTTTGAATAACAATATATTTTCACAGGATGTACAGTCAGATATTTCGAAGTTTCATATGAAAAATGTGTTAAAATAATAGTAAAATATTCACAATTTTACAGTCATTGGTTACTGGTTTCTTTGTCAAATATTGTGTGCTGACAAATTGAAACCATCTATAAATGGATATTACAAACTTTTTAGTTACAAATAGTCCTTGATTAGTAATCTATTTTTTCATCATACAAAAAGTACGCATTGCACAGAATCTAGAATGAACTAAAAATGTCATTTCAGCATAAGTAGAGATACCAAGAAATGATTACTTTGAAAAAGTTTAACATTAAATCATACTCTACTATTGTCATGTTGTTTTTCAAAAGTTACTGTTATTTTCAAGTTTTCCAAATTAAATCATATGTTAATTTCAATTCTTGTTGTATTAAAACTATATGATATATATATCATAATTTTGCTGCAACATACGTTTTGAATATTTAAAATCTGAAATAAATATAAACCTGAATTTTACTTACCAAATTATTTGCATGCATTATTTTCTGTAGACCTTCATTTTTAATGGTATTATAGATGCTATTTTTTCATGAGCTCTTGAGAAATCTCCTGATTCTTTATCCTATATTTTATTGTAGTTCTATAATATATATATATTTTTTTTTCAGAGATGGTCAGATTTCAATGAAAGACTTCAAGTCTGTTGCTGTATTAGGTAGAGGACATTTTGGTAAAGTTTTACTTGCCCAGCATAGACGCACCAGTGATATATACGCCATAAAAGCATTGAAAAAAGGAGACATCATAGCTCGAGATGAAATAGACAGGTAGTTATACATTAGGATCAAATTTTGGCGCTCCAGAAGTATGTGTACCAATATGGAGGTAACTAATTTTGTTCGCCTACTTTACATCGAGTTGTGTAAAGGGACTGAAACCTATGGGCATGGGCGGACACCCGGGGTGGGAAGGGGGCCGTCGCCCCCCCCCCCAATAATTTCGCAATAAATTTTAATACATGTTGTTTCCGCCTTACAAAATTATCATTTCTGAAAAGTGCGGTAGTCAAGCACAATTAAACGGTTAATAGTTACCGATATTATAACTGTTTTCTTACAATAATGTGGACCAGAGCGCCTTCGGAGCACCTCACATTTTTTCGTGAAACATGCGTGCCCGCACGGGTAATACTCCGTCTTCAAACGCACCGCCGATCACGCGCCACAGTTTGGCACAACTAATTCATTTTTGTACAATTTAATATGGTTTTTTCATTGTCAAAATCTTTCAATAGTGTTATTGTTGGCACTTGCGAGAGAATGAGAGAGGCAAACAACAATTAATTATTATCGCTAAAAAATTAACTAGATCTAAAGTTGTTATAAACAATTTTCACCGCTGGACGTATCTTTTCACGTTATGAATTTCGTGCAAGGCCCAGCATAAATTGCAGGCAAAGATCAAAGCATTTACTATGTCGAAACGCCTATTCGACTTTTCAGACCACAGAAACTATCTAAAAAAGATACCCCCCACCCCTTCTGAATTTTTTTGAAAACTGAAAAAGTCGGCAATAACGCGTGCAATAGAAACCCATCCTACTCGCAAAAAGAAAAGTGATGTAAAAAAAAATTTTTTAACAATAGCTCTTATGGGGAATGTGATCACCAGAGCAGAAATTTGCATTTTATGTCATTTTCTAGATATCTTTCATTGTATACGTGAGCAGTTTTGGGGATAGAATATTTTTTACATCTTTTTTGATATTATTATTATGATAAACATGGTCAAGATTTTTAATAATCGTTCATTGAAATTTTAATGAGCGCGGTGCACTAGACCATGAGATTCTGCCAACGCGCCGTGCTTTGTGGGATATGCGCACCAACTGATTGTGATAACAGAATACTGGTACCGGGACCACAACTGGCGTTCAACGAAAGACCTATTTTGGTTTTAATTGGATGTTATATATTTCATAAATTCCATGTACATTTCTGGTACACCTTTCAAAATCCAATGGCCTAACTCATGTACGGTACCTATCCCAAAATTGGTGATGTTCAGGGCTGGATTTAGACCATGAGAGGCCCCTTCATATTTTTGAGCTCAGAATTTCTCTCTAAACAACACCACATTTAATTGTTTAAAATTTAAAAATATGAAAGCATTAAAGTTTTCATTCTCCCCTTTCATGGGTGTGAATTTTTAATTAAAAGAATATAAATTTACTTGAGGCAGTTTTGCTTTTAATTTCTTTGATCAAACAACCGCTACAGCCATACTTTAACATAGAAACTTCCAGCAGAATGCGCATAATAATAATTTCCCTTATTATGATGCAAACGACGCAATAATGGCTGTTTACAATGTGGTTGAAACTAGTTGTGTACAGAATTTTCTACTGTGAAAAAGCTTGATATATATATATACTTTTTGTAGGGTTTAAACTTGTCAAGTTTTCAAAAGAATTACAAACTTCGAAACCGAATTTCGAGGCTCTAGGTTTCAGCCTGGATAGCCTATTGGTAAATCCAGCCCTGGTGATGGTCCCTACAGCAAATTTCTGGCCCTAATCACTCAGCAGATTGAAATAAATGGTTTTCAGAATTTATTAGCAAAGATAGATATTTTAATTAAACATAATTATAGTTCAACTTAAAACCTGTATAATGATATTATAAATATATGTCCCATTATTACTGCATTGTGAGAAGGCTTTCCACAATATCAAGTCTATAAGGTTTTAGCGTCTTCTAATGTCTCAGATGGAAACTTCAGTCTTCATTTCGCATATTCTTTTCATTAATGTTTAATGTAATATCCTAAACGTGACTTCAAATTTTTGAAAATGTTTGAATACCCGAGCTGACTTCTACTGATTTGTTATTAATTTACAATTTTTTTTATAAATTAACTGTCGTACTTGCTAAGTGTTCACTAAGTGAAAATCTACAGAAAAAAGCAGTGGTTTAATAATGGACTACATTTATAACCGAATCCAAAAATATTCCGTAACTTAGTCAACCCTTCCTCCAAGGAGTTTTTGGTAAATTGTTGAAACATCTTAATTGACTGTTAATCTTGATAGCAAACATGGGGGGCAAGGGGGAGCTGACTGTGATGGTCGTATCGCTCCCCAGTCTATTCGAAATACCAGTAACTGTGTGTTTTGTATATAATTCTTATTGGTTCGATGCTATTCTGGTTGACAAAATAAATCTCCCTCTCGTATTCAGTCATGTTTTTTAACCTAATTACGAGACCGGTATTGTACCATTATAGGTTGGAGATATTCATCTTTTTTGTATACCGGTACCATACAACTATTGGCAGGATGGCCAACATTTTTGTTCGTAGGCCTATTTCAGTATTTACTAAATAATTTAGTTTTCACCTCTTGCAGCCTTGGTATGGTACCGGTAGTTTAAATAACACGTCAGCATGCCTTCAGTAAATGATTGCTAGCTGTACAGGTATAAATGCGTAAAACCAGTAAACAAACGTGATAGAAATGGTATGGTTTATAGATTGTCAATGTTAAACGCTTCCAGTACGGGACCCAAAGCGTTATTAGCGCCGCATTTGCTACGCATATCCCACAGCGCGTTGGCAGAATCTCATGGTCTAGTGAGAATGACGTCATCGGAAACATCGCGCTCAATAAAATTTTAATGAACGATTATCAAAAATCTTGACCATGTTTATCATGATAAAAATATCAAAAAAGATGTAAAAAATATTCTATCCTCAAAACTGCTCACGTATACAATGAAAGATATCTAGAAAATTACAAAAAATGCAAATTTCTGCTCTGGTGATCACATTCCCCATAAGAGCTAATGTTAATTTTTTTTTTTTGCATCACTTTTCTTTTTGCGCGTAGGATGGGTTTTCAATGAATAAGGTCTATTGCCTTTTGCTAAAATCGCCGATTGTTTTCATCATTGTGACCTATTATTTAGGTCGTAAACGCCTTGGCGTTGGCGTTTATCCTCTCTAAATCACAAATTTTCCACAAATTTGTGACACGATGACTATGAGAATTATTTTATTTTCGTACAAGCACTGACTTATGAACCCGGCGAGAATTTTAATAAGTATAATATAAATATACTATATATACGGCAATATAAAATACTAAAAATAAAACTGTAAACATTATAAGTTTTGTTGAGGCCCGCGACAGTCTAAAAACGCTTTTCTAGGCATCTGAAATCGCAAAATTTCGTGTGCCTACGCCACAAATTACCGTATGTTTGCTTGACCTTTAAAAACATTTCGTCACTAAAATCGAAACACGGTCAATTGTGGGCGGGATTTGCCTTTTTATCCTATACTTTTAAATTGACGTCGAAAATTTCCGTGTTAACATTAAACAAAGCTGAGAACGCGACTTTTTCCCGGTTTGTGATGATATATAAGATAATTAAAGTATATTCGATCAATTTCTGTATTTATTTATGTATTTTCATTGTACTGGAATAACTTTTACTACGTGAGAATTGACAGAAAATTTACGAATTTTTCGAAAGGTTTATCTTTAAAAATAATCGGAGTGACAACATTGCGATTGAGCGGAGCCAGTAGCCATTGAGAGTACATCTCAAATTGCAAAATAGCAAAAATAGGGATCAAAACAATATTTGAACGGGCAGTTTACCACACATTTTTATGTCCGCGGATTGTCGTGGTGTTTTAGAGTTTCTCTTGTTTTGTCGACTCAACCACAGTTTAAATTGAAGACAATTAAATTAATAAATCAAGACATTTTGAATATGCCCGTATCGGTCTTTGATTGATTACTTTGCACAAGTAAAAAATCATTTTTCGTTGAAAAAGTCGGCTCTTTTAACAAGTGGCGTAATCGCGGCAACTGTTCCGCGTGGATTTCGAGGCGGTGAATTTGTATTTTTGATCTACTAGTATACTTTATAATTATTTTCATTGTATGAAGTAAAATTGTACTATTTATATGTGGGATTTTATATCAGATATCGAGAATTTTGTAACGACGATAACGAGTTCGGAAGATTGCAAAAATACGTATCAAAATTATATACATCAGGCAGCTTATCTCATATTTTTATGTCCACATATCGCCGTGGTACTTTAGTTTAGTAATATTTTTATTTTGTCGTAAGAAGTCGCAACCGCGAGTTACGTTGCACACAATTAAATTAATATATGAGGACATTTTTGAATCTCGTGGCTGTCATGGATTGAATATTTTACGCGACAGAAAAATCATTATACGCTAAAATAGGCGGCTTTTTTAACAGAGAATTCAAGAAATTGGTTCAGTGACGCGCAAGTTCCGTGTCTAAGCGAAGCATCCTAGGTACTCGATATATGAGTAGCAAAATGACATTCTAATACTTCGAGAATGACATCGACAGGCAGGGTTGTCCAAAACGAATCGAATATTCGAATGTATTCGAATATCAAAGTATTCGAATAACTTTTCTGCTCTTTTTCGAATAATTCCGAATAGTAGCCACTTTTCGCCGTAAATGTGGTGTTTTGTTTTATGGGAATCTTCAAACGACTTTTTACGCTGTCTCACGTATTGTAATGACGATGAAATAGAATCGGCACTTTGATTGTTTATATTCTGTGCGACCGTACGTCGCATAGTGTTGCGACACATTTGCACGTTTGCGTGGGTGGACATTGCCGACATTCGTCTACGAGGCTTTCAATTTACAAATTCATTTCCATTACGTCAAAAAATTGACAATTACCGTATTTCCGGGCAATAAGTCGCTTTTCTAGGGGGGCGTCTAATTGAGAAAGTATGTAGTTCTATGCGGCCTGTTTTTATTCGCATGAGTCTTCTCAAGCATGATTTGTGTAACCTTATATTTGGGTCTTAGGGTCTGCCAATCATGATATTTAATCGCAGACCGGTTATCGTTACTTTAATAAAGAGAAACACGGCCACCGAGATAAAGTGATTTGTGACCCTTTTCGTTTTGCCGATTCAGCAGAACACGACAGGGACAGGAAAACACAGCTGTGAAATAACCCGTGGACGTACAGTGTATTACTTATCACATTCCAAAATTATTTCAACATTCGGGTTAATAGTTTGTCCAAAATGATTGCCGTTTTACAACTTAAATTTACCACTCAATTGTTAAAAATAGTTAATTTGGTAATATGATTCTACCAAACTAACATGATCTGGTTCTAAACATATAAAATCATTAGCGCATATCAGCATAACTGAACAACAGGGACACAATTTTTCTACCCGTCTTATTGGGGGCCTGTATGGAAAAACCCCTTTTTGGGTGCTAAAAATAGACATCGTCCTATTTGCCATGTGGACTTATTAGCCGGGAAATACGGTATTTATAGCCGTCATTGTTACGATATCCAATAAATTGTCACAAGTTGGAAAAACAAGTCGATTTATTAGAAAATAATTTCTGGCAAATAATTCTGATAACGATAGTTAAAAGCCAGGATGATTTTTTGCAATAAATAATCCAATCAATGACTGGTACCAGCATTTAAAATGTCATGCCGTATTAATTAAATTCTGTTCAATGTAACTCATGGTTGTATCGACAATCTGTGGACATAAAATGTGTGGTAAACTGACCGATATTATTAAATATTGATTCCCATTTTTATATTGATAAAATAATGGAAGTATTAATACCAAATACCACGGGTATTTGTGGACATGAAATACGTGGTAAACTGCCCAATTGTAATTAATTTCGGATTCGCATTTACAAAATAATAAAACTATCACAATTCTAAAATGCAACGGCGATCTGTGGCCTTAAAATGTGTGGTAAACTGCCCGATTTACAAAACATTTCAGTTATGATAATAGAATTAAATTAACGTATTATTACTCAAACATACAACGGCGATCTGCGGACTTATAATGTGTGGTAAAGTTCCCGAATATAATTAATTTTTGATTCGCATTTTTGTACTCACGAAAAAGTTGTCACAAGTCGGAAAAATAACTCAAATAATTTGGATGATGGTTGGTATTTAAAAGTATGAGCGTTTTACTAGGATGATTTTGTGTTACGCAAATATTCAAATCCATCATCGATACCACTATTGCCGTATTAATTTAATTCTGTTAACATGACTCGTGGTATATAAAATATATACTGCAATAATCTGCAAATATGAAATGCCTGGTAATATAGCTAGGTTGTAACTTGTAGATAGCAGTTATTCCATTGCTTATTATATGGAAATTCCTGCATACATTTAGATAAGCTTCAATTTGTGGATTTTATTTTCGAAGTATTCGAAATTTCATATTCGAAAAAAATAATTTCGAATGTATTCGAAATAGTGAACTATTCGGTATTGGCCATCCCTGTCGACAGGTTATTGTTACGTGGCGATACACGGCGCGATGTTTTTCGGTAGGCGATCCAAGTTCGCCCCCCCAAAATTATGGAAAGTGTCCGCCCCTGGGCATGGGGTATATTCACTTGGCAAACAAAGACAGTTCTCGAACTTGTAATAGAACTAAAATAAGAAAATAAGTGATTTAATATGTTTGTTTCAACAAAGAATAAGATAAGTAAGATAAGCCACTGATAAGTGAAGAACTCACATTTTTCTGGGAAGGAGTACTGGAATCTATTTAATTATCATTTACCGTAGTTGGTACACTCTGACTAATATGTGGAATATGAATTCGGTTGTATCCATATAGATAATTCTTGTATAAGTATTTAGAATATTATTTGTAGATTAATTTATGCTGAATTCATATCATACGTTATTTATTTTATTTTTGTAGTTTGATGTGCGAAAGACGAATTTTTGAATGTGCAACAAAAGTTCGACATCCGTTTCTCGTAAATTTATTCGCCTGCTTTCAAACTGTGGATCATGTTTGTTTTGTTATGGAATATGCTAGCGGAGGAGATCTCATGTTACATATTCACACTGATGTATTCTCGGAATATAGGACAGTGTATGTTGAGTTGTATATTATACTTTTAGTGTTGATCTATTTTATCTAAAGGTGTTCTATTTAGTACAAAATTTGGAATATTTGACATACTTTATTTGAACATTGAAATTGACCATTAAATTTATTTTGAAAAATTCCCCACCATAGGATGGATATCTGAGCAAATCCATATTATGCTTGGATGAGTCGTATTACTATAAAATCAGCAGAAGAACAAAAACCAGTCCACAAATTTATTAGGTGGAAGTTTCTAAAAACGATGCGATTTTTTGAACTAGTATGTTTATTGAACAGGAACAGTTACTATTAATCACTTTATCAATATTGTATAAAAATGAAAGTTTCCACAGCCTGTCTGAGCCAAACTTTGTGTGCTACAATTTGATTTGTTTTATATTTTCTAGGTTTTACACTGGCTGTGTTGTGCTTGGACTTCAATATCTTCATGAAAATAAAATAGTTTACAGAGATTTGAAACTGGATAATTTACTTCTTGATAAAGAAGGATTTGTTAAAATTGCTGATTTCGGACTTTGTAAAGAAGGTTGGTAAATCGTGAGGCTTCAAAGATGTTTCGTTCTTTTTCTGTTAACATTTATGACAAGACACAAATTCTTTGAAAAGGTGTCTTTTTAAACGGAGCAAAAATGTGTAAAGAAGCAAAATTGAGTTACCGACATTACATTGATTTAAAAACCAATAACAGAGACAGAAATGCTGAATTAGTATAGAAAAACAGTTGGAAAGTTTCCAACATTTATTTATGTAAGATGTACTCCAATACAATTTTTTATGTACTCTCGTATTGTGTGTACCTGGTTAGGGTTAGTCCATAATTTTATTCCGATTTTTCCTCATTTTAGTTCTATTACGAGTTCCTGTACTGTCTGTGTTAGCCAAGTGAATATACCCTCAGCCCATAGGTTTCAGTCCCTTTACACAGCTTGATGTAAAATAGGCAAACAAAATTAGTTACCTCCATATTGGTACACAAACTTCTGGAGTACCATTTTTCATTTATATAATGTCCATCTTGATAAGTCCAGTTAGTTTTGTTTGATCCGTTAATAGAGCAATATGCAAATCATTCATCCTTTTCTAGGTATGGGTCATGGTGACAGAACTGGAACCTTCTGTGGAACACCCGAGTTCTTGGCACCAGAAGTATTAACTGATACATCGTATACGCGTGCTGTTGATTGGTGGGGATTAGGTGTCTTGATATTTGAAATGCTTGTTGGTGAGGTGGGTAGACTTGGATAAGTTAGGTTTTTCTTCGATTTTATTTAATGATCTGAAAGCTGGGTGTTTTCTGATATTGAATGCTGAAACTTCATAATGTTCTACGATTCTTCATCTTATAGGAAATGCAGAGATTGCCTGTTGGAAATATGCTCTTGTATAAAATTACTTTATTGCCGAGCGAATTGTCTTTATACCATATTGTCCTTGGTTTTAAGTACCGGTATGTATTGTGTCTTCCTATTTATTGTTTCCATACATTTATTCTGAAAAAGATTCGCCATTGTTTACTCAATTAATTGCCTCTGAGGTGGCGAACATTGTTTGAACCAGACAACATTATTATCTACAATGCTGTGACCACTCAATTATTTGCCTTTTTCAAAGTTGTAGATTCAATCTTCCTTTTTTAATTCAAATTATTTATATTTATATTCATTTTTTTCCAATGGTAAAGCTTGAAATAGTTTTCTAAATGAAAGTTAAATTTTACTGTTTAGTCTCCATTCCCTGGAGATGACGAGGAAGAAGTTTTTGATTCCATCGTTAACGATGATGTCAGATATCCAAGATTTTTATCTAACGAAGCCATCGGTATTATGAGAAGATTACTCAGACGTAATCCTGAACGAAGACTCGGCGCTAGTGAGAGAGATGCTGAAGACGTGAAAAAGCAGCCATTTTTTAGAGTGAGTTCAGCTGTTTGTTACCAAAGTACAGCGTAACCCAAAAACAAAACCCAGTTCATTTGGAACATATTCTAGAGAGAACATAACTTTAGTGCAAAGCATCTGAATTACTGAAACATTCTGGGTACAATTATACACAAATAGTGGCGCTCCAGAATTGTGTGTACCAATATGGTGGTAGTTAATTTTGTTCGCCCACTTTACATCAAGTTGTGTAAAGGGATTGAAACCTATGGGCAGGGGGTATATTCACTTGGCTAACACAGACAGTCCCCGAACTCATAATAGAACTAAACTAAGGAAAATTGGAATAGAATTATGGCCCAACCCTAACCTGGTACACATATTACGGAAGTACCCAAATAGTAGTGCTCTTTATTTACGAATTCCATAGCAACCAGCATCTACCGAGATTTGTCATAACACAAAGTCGATATGTATCTCCTATCATGACAGAAATTCTTCTAAAACTAGCATTTTTTTGCTCTGCAAGTCAGTGTTCATATGACCTTGTCCAACCTGACATGAAGAAAAAAATATTTCAAAGTCTGTCGAATCATTTTCCTACTTGAAATCCTATCTTATAAATTGGCTTTAAGTTAACAATATCCTGACCTTATATTTTATTTCAGAAACTCGATTGGACCACACTTTTTCAGAGGAAATTGAAACCTCCTTTTGTACCGACTATTGTGAGTATATGACAAAGTCATATTAAAGTATTAATAGTTGTTATGGCAAGATTCTGTCAACTGGTATAATCGTATTAATGACCTGGCGATGGGTTCAAACTTCGTACTCGCCCAGTTCAAACTGAAAAGACTCCTGTCCTTTGAAAAATATTGTAACCCAGTGGTGAGCAACTTCTCCAGTCGGCCGGATGTGGGAAAATGAAGTCCTCGGCGAGCCGGATTATTACAAAAAATACTTCGGTATTCAATCTTTGTTAAATGCTCGATACTCTCTGTCAACTTTACGTTTCTTGGGATATTCCATGGTTAATAAAACTTGATATAAAATCTAATTTCTAAAATCTATTTATATTTAGAATATAAATATAATAACTAATAACAGAATAACAGCAGTGGGGAATGTTTACAACGCTCCTCTCTGCTTTGACCTCATATTGTTTGTTTAACAAGTGTGCTAACGCAATTGTTTGTTCACTAAGGCAATTGTTTATTTCACCAGCTCGCACTGACAGTGCAGTGAGAGTAGAGCGATCGGCAACTTTCAGGAATGATGCGTCGGACCACATCACAGAGTGTGGTTGAATACAGTCAGCGGGCCGGTCAAAATCTCGTTGGCCGTATGTTGCCCACCCCAGTTGTAACCCCTTGGCTGCTTGTTCATAGCCTTGCTGCCAGTGAAAGGTGTAAAAAATGTCATAGAAAAAAACTTTGTGAAATTTGCAAATTCATTTTCATCATCAAATTATTAATTTTACATTTATATTATGGCTTAATTGTATAATGAAAATTTGGCAAATAATTCCATAATTTCTTGTTGTGAATTGATTTATGAAATTAAAAGCACAGTCGTTTTAAATTTCTGAATGAAAGTAATTTGAAATTTCGTTCAAACCTTATTATAGGGATTATGAATTTTGTGAAGACACTGCGGCCTGCAACTTTAGAAAACATTTTAGACATCAAATTTTTTGTATCCTTTTTTAGCGTTCTGCTACTGATGTCAGCAACTTTGACGAAGAGTTTACAAATGAGGATCCGGTTCTTACACCACCACATGAAAATAAAAGGACACTAAGCAGAGGAGAACAAGCACAATTTTCTGATTTTGACTATACTGCGGACTGGTAAAATCCGCTATTGCCACTGGATATAGAATGACTGTTGAATAGTCTAAGACAACACTGCCGTTTCCCTTCGCCTATGTTTGCAGTGCAGTATATCTTATAATAATGTATTGATAACTGACTTAGAAGTTGCATAAATCTGTGATACACTGACACGTAAGGCATTCTGAAATGTTTTCCACATGCTCTTTTCAAACTTTGACTGAGAACTTCATGAAACAATAAATAGTTTAGACGAAAACTAGTTTTGATAATAATCGGTAATTTGGTGGGTTATAAATTATCCCTGATCCCTTTAGGTTTAAAAGTGTTTAATACTGAGTCATGAATTGTGGGCTTGGTACATCTATTAGCTACTTTACATTACATTTCTATGTGTTTGGGTATCTTAGGTCAAACTTATCGGAAATCGGCCAAGCACTTAGTAATAAACATATTTTCTTAATTTTTTGTAAAAATTAAATCAAATTGGTAACATACCGTATGTTCCAAATTTTCATAATCCCTCAATCAACTTGAAGGCAAATGATTTAAGTTCAACTTTCTTTCTTTACAATTTTTGTTTATATGGGTTATGTTGATTGTTCCGTGGGATATAGCATACATTAGTCAATTTTGTAGAATTGTAGTATATCTTCTTAACTGGAACAATAGATTATGTAAATTTCATGTGGCGGATATATTGTAATGCTTGAAAAGGTTTGGCACGATAACTTCAATTCAGTATCCATTTTTTTTTTAATTTTTATGGAATTAATTCTTAAATTTCTAATCCGGTGTTGCTAAAATAATACATAGGTATATTGCAGTAGTTTCCAATCTATTGGCCGCCTCTTATTATTTCTTTTTTTTATGTGAATTGACCTAATGTTCTGTTACAAATTTTCGTTTCAACATTCAAACTCACAAGTTCAATTCATTAGATTTAGGTAAAATATTATGATATTGAATCGCAGTTCCAGCAGAAGCTATCTAATATTAATCAGTGTTTTTACAAGTATATTACACCGAGTTTGACTAAGATATAATGAGAAAAAGCATTTATCTTTGACCAATACTGGAAAAAATAGCCCAATCGTGTCCTTCCGACAAATTGTCAAGCATATATAATTTAATAAAGGTGCAGTGGTACATTTGCTATATCTGTCTCACTATATATAAATAAATATATATTTAAATTATCATTCTTAAACATGTATGTATTCAGCCAAATATCAATTCAACTTTATACTTTATGAAAATAATTCTGTGTAGAATAACTTGGAATATTACGATAATTTAGAGCAGGGGTGTGCAACATTTTTTTTTGTCGGTGAGCCACACAGCCAATTTTAGACATCTAGCTGGACCACACAAAAAATTTAGTTTTTTCATGTACACAGTAATTAAAATATTCTCACAATGCAAAATTTTGTTTAATTCACTTGGGCACTTTGACACGTGGGACAGAAGTTGTAGCATAAACTGTCGGATTAGGATTTTATGCTTGATGGGAAAAAATCTGATTGTTAACAAGGACCACACTAAATGGCTTGGTGGCCCGCGGGCCGCCTGTTGCACACCCCTGATTTAGTGCTTTCATTGAGAATGCTTTCTATATGGATTGTGATACAATTTACAAAACGTTATTCTAGAATTGTATCTTATAGAGCTTGACTTTCCTCTCACGCCCAGATTTTTATTGCACAACAATCATGGGCCAGACGTATAATGATTTTTCATTTTATTTCTATTAATATTTACTCTTAGATATTTACCTTATATTAGGTCAAGATTCTGATTGTTTTGCTGCAATGTTCATTGAAGAATTTTATCAAACGCTGCAATGTTCATTGAAGAATTTTATCGAACGCCACTTTAGGGTTGTATGTGATTCAGTCACCAGAAATCACTCTATTACTAAAAAAAAGTTTTTTTACCAACCAATTATATGTTTCCTGTTTCATTTAATATGGATCTGTTGTTAGTATTAGTATGATACTGGCAAATCTGGTTCTTTATTGTGAATTATTCTGCATGAAAAATATATGGAAAAGTGTCTTTTATATGTAAATGCACAAGTATATTTTTAATAATTTTGTGCAAAAATAAACTGATCTTTCTATATATTTTTTCAAGATATTTTTGTGAACACATCTACCGATCATTGTGTTGTTGATATATCAAAATGTGGCTTATCAATACCCTGCTGTGCCAAAATTCTACATTTTAGAATAGAATAACATATTCGATATCTTGCAAGACGTATAAAATGAGTGACTAGCAATATGTTGATGCAAACAGTATTGCTGCAAACCGATTTGTAAATTTTTGATGATTTTGAGAAAATTCACAAAATTGTCAAGCAAAGTTTGCTACTTTTGCTTTTTAAAAAATATTTCTCCGGTAATTAGTTCAAAATTAAAAGTAGCATCGCTCTAGTAGCATCACTCTAAAATAACCTGTGATGAATAACGACTTATATGATGTGTGTGACTACTCAGAATAAGTAAGAATAGTTTTTTATAGCTCATGTGCTATTTGGGTAGATAATTCCAATTATAACTCAGCGAAATAATCATTCTTAGCTATTGTTAAATACTGAAATAACATGAGGTAATGATGGAGCTATTATTCCATTGCCCAGTTTCGATCTAAAACCTGGTTTCAAATGTTTCTAAACTGTTTTTTTTTGCTAATGATATTGATTGCTCGTATCTTTTCTTTTTTGTTTATTGCCGTATGTTATGTGTGATTCGATTTAACTGTCGTTTCTATATTAACGCACACATCGAATATTAACACCAACTATTTGAAATTGAACCATTTTGTGACTTTATTGCAGGTAGTGGTGGGGTGTTAAAGTTTAAACTATACTTACATAAAGACATAATGGAAGTATTGGCCGCCCACGTTTTGCGCCATGTTATATGTGGGTTAGGCTCTGTTGTTTGGGCGCCAGCCAAAAACCAAAAAGTTTGAAACTTCTGTTGGAAAGTAAAGAGAATAAACACAATCGGAACGCATATTTGGAGGTAAAACGGTTATAATATAAAATTGCGATAATGTTCAAATAAATTTTCGACGTACTCGTTGTATTCCCATTTCATCAATACAAATTTATTTGTCGCCAAATTAAATGCTATAGTTAGTACCATTGTATCAAACTAGAATCACCCGAAGCATAAATATGATTTTTCTCCCTCTTCAAACGCACTTGCCGGAATATCTCCAGCCTGTGCTCATACTGAATGAAGTCGATAATCGCATAATATCTATGTTGCCAAAAATTCATGTACCGCAATATTGAACGAGCAAATCATTCCAGTTAGAAATTGATGTACACAATTGAAGTATATGGGGATGATACCAAATTAGTAATAATACAGATTGAGCATTTCTAGAGCGAGGGCTGCGACCTTGTTCCACTCAAATAACATGCGCTATTAACACATGAGTTGTTAAGAGTATTGGAATCCACGGTAACCATCAATCCATGCTCTCGTTGAACTACAATAAGAGTAAATATGTAAGTCTATTCCGTGACATCAGAACAAAGAAGTAATACAGACAAAACAAACATAAAGCAGGCAAAATCTAGAAAGATTTAAAAAGTGCTTATACTTACCTTAAGCAGCGAACAACGTATTATAGAAAATTAAAAAGAAATACTAGTTCACAAAGCAAACAGATAATTCGAGCGTAAAAACATGGTTGTGGATGTGGAGTTTGGACACACAATTTCTACTATATTGTATACAAAAAATACCGAGAGTGCAGCAAGCGGTGCACAATATGTGACAAGAACAATATCAAAAGCAGCCTAACTTCATATCAACAACAAATGGAGTAAAATAGAACAAGAACATTCCATGCCCTGTCGTTCCAACTTCAGAGCGATTAGTATTAATAAAAATCTATGTGCTTTGTAAAACTTGCGCTGTGCAAGCAGTCTTTTATGGGAAATCCATTATCAAATTTCACATCCAACCACAGTCAAGTTCTGAAATATTAGCCTTCTGTTTCTGTATTCACTGTCTATAAGATTAAACGCATGCAAAATGGTCGAATGCGACCAAGCTCATGTTAATTAAGCAAGTGAGAGCGCAAACCAAATTGTATTTCGAATTTCTTCAATGTCAAATGAAATTGTTTTTACACGCGATGAGAATAACATAACGCTTGACTACTACACATCGCTGATTGCAAGCTAAATTTGCACAACATATATGCAACAAGGCAATGAAAACTATAATTCCATGCTTTGGTCTCTGCGGTAGGGGTAGCAAATTACTTTGGATCGTGGGCCATACCATGGCAACAATTTTCGCTAATGAATAAACGTGGTTTTAATCAATCTAAAAAAAAAGAAACATTCGATTTCAATTCTATTCATGAGAAAGATTAACTTATCATTCTCTTCTGCAAAACTTTAAGGTCATGAGTTGTATTGATTGTTGATATTCTCATAAGAGCATGCCGAAGTCATCGCGAAACTGCGACCATCAAGCGAATAACCAGGATTAAAAAAAACATAGTTTCGAAACAATTAAATCGCAATATAAAAATACTTGTATATCTTCAATGATGTTTTAGGCAAAATATTTTAACTTTTGTCGCCAGTACATTTGAATTTAGCTAATATTGAAATATTTTACGTTATTTGAGTGTGGTTAGCTAGGACATGAAATAACTTAATTTGTGACGTCACAATTATTTTATTTATTAGCCAACAATCGTACTTAGCTATTCAATTAAAGAGTCCAGCTGCACACTAACACAAATGTATTTCTGTAACGTTTCGTCCGACCAGAGTCAGACTTCCTCAGACAAGCAGTTTACAACAATGGCAAGAAAGAAAATTTGCTAAATGAATTTGAAATATCAAATCAAGTATGACGTAACAATGCATAAACATTTAATTTGCATTTAGCCGTAGAAGTAATGATTGGGAAGATTAGAACCACAAATATCAGTGGAGCTCATTTCAGATGTAATTGAAAAAAATAAAATAAAAAAAGGATTTTATTATTGCATTTACGAAAATGATGGGTAACTAAATGTAATTGAAATTATGGGCACTTAGAGAACCACGAGGAAGTAAACCAACATTTAAACATAAATCAAGGCTTAGTCTGGTGAGGACCAATTTCAAAATTAAAAAAGGTTAAAAGTTATTGCTGAATTTTGATCTTAAATAGCGTTAAAATATAATATTAATTCATAATAATAAATGAATAAATTAACCATCTAGCATATTTCGAGTAGGACAAAAGAAAATAAAATAATCGTACTTAGAGCAATGTTAATTTTGCAAATTTACAAAAATGGCAAATTTATCATTTACGCGACTTCGACTTGTATCAACAGGTCAAAAGGTCACCCATTATCGTGTTTTTACACGCGATTTTGCGCAACCGAATCAAGCACTTCATCAGTGCGTTACAAGTTTTGCTGGCATTAGTAAATTTTTTGTCTGAAGTATTAATCTTCACCGAAGTTGACTATCAGAGAAAAGAAGACAATCTGTATCATGGAGCGGGATTATTTTTGACATGCATCGACATTCCTCATGACGCTTACATACTGGACAATCCTGTGCATGGTAAGGACATTGGTGGAATTCTGCATAATTTGTTCATGGAGCCCATGAATTGGCTATTTCGGCTGATCATAACATTTCCTGTAACTGAAAAGATGGCGAGGCTTCTAACCGCAGTACTTCGCCATGATAAATGCTCGATCTCTTTTATTGTCAAATTGCTGGGACAAACTGTTGTGGCCACACAGAGTCTCAAAATTAGAAAAGGACTTATTAAAACTTTAAAAATGCTTTTGGTAATATGTAGAGAGCCCGAAAATTTCTTCAGAAAACATCAAAAAACCTGGCGAATAAAAAAATCAGCTAGAAAATTTATTCGTCAGGCAATTAGACGTCATGACAACATTGCTTCAAAGGGACTAAGACTACGAGCAAATGAACATGTGAAAATACGAACATCGAATATACGAAGTTTGGATCGCTCTGAAAAAAATCGTAATGACCCGAATAATGAATCTAAGAACAATAGCATCAAATCCAGGCTCGATGATGGACCCCCGAACCACAACGTAGAATCTACCGAATCTGCAGGAAACAATTCGCCCGCACAGCAACAAGACGAGGAAAATATTCATCCACCCACTAAAAGCGAAACATATTCGTCACCATTCGTTTCTGCATCAGAATACGATTTGCTTCCTGGCAATACAGGATCAACGTCAGCGCCTTTTGACAAGGTGGTCGATGAAGTTCATTTTAACATTGTAGATGTACCGACAATGATTGACCCAACTTTGTCTTATAAAAACTCTACCGAGCATTCTCAACGACTCTCTACAGTTGGAGGTATCTTTAGTCCTACAGAAGAAGAAAAAGCTCCTGATGAGATTGATATGTATACCATCAACCAGGATGATTTGAAAGGTGCTCAAGTAAGCCATAAAATTAATGGTAAATCTGCGAGTATTGTCGGCGAAAGCGGTGATAACGAAGTCTATGCTGCTGGTGATTCAAATACCACTAGCCAAAAGGGAAACGGGACACCTCAACATCTCTATAAACCATCGGGGAGGGATAAAGGAGACTGTGTGCCTCACCCATCACCCATCAAACTGACCAGATCATCCGATCATAAACAACCAGGAAAAAACCTTCTTGAGAAACAAATACAAAGTACAAATAATGTACATGCGAATGATCCTGTTTCAGAAGTTGAAATTTCAACTATTCCAGAATATCTGGCAAAATCAAACGCAATTAAAGATGAAGGTAATGCTGATTCTGCTCTGACCAACCACGGAAATTCATCAATCAATGCTTTAGACGAATGTAACGATCCTACGCCAGATGATAAAATATATGATACTGCTTCTTGCTCAGTCAGTCACACTGATTTAAAAAATGATTCCAACAATCACAAGAAAAATCATGTCGTGTCTGCAAAATATGGAAAAAATATCATAAAGGTGAGTTCTGAGATTTTATTCCTTCCAAAAAAATAATTTCTGCTATCGTTTGCAGTTTTTTGAACTTAGGTTTGAAAATATAAGATTGAATCAGCTTAAGACGTATTAGCGGTATTTCTGAACAAATCTAATTTGTCGGAAACTTTTTTCCTGCTAATCTTCCCAACCGTTATTTTTCTCTTTAATTTTTCCAGAATAATATAAAGAAGTCCAGAAAAGAGGCACGTGATCAATTTTGTACTCAAATATGCGCCAAAACTGTGGAAACAAACAAAGACTTTGATGCATCTGTTATTGTTGAGGTTTGTAATCAATGAAAACGGATTGTTACGAGATCGATTAAATGCTGTAAACGTTCTTAATTGCCTTGTCTCCAATTCATGATATAAAATAGCAAATTTTATATCTGAAAGCTTGCTTAGTGAGAATTAATGATAAAAAATCGACTTGGGAAATTGTTGCTCACTTGGGAATTTGCCAATATTTATCATACGCCCATGCAGTTAACGTTTCTAAATATATAAAAAAAAGTAGCAGACCAAGCTCGGAATAAAAACTAGCCTCGCATCAAATGTTAAATGGATTGATAGACCTCACACTGAAATGCATCTTTTTATTTTTTTTAATTCTGTATGTACCATGTGTATTTTCGGCATGTGAAAAAATAAACTGCTGATTGGCTGACAAAATAGACTATTATAATTGAATTTTGTATTTTTGTTTAGGGGAACGATATCTTCTCAAATAGAAAAGATATTTACGAATTTAACTATGAATTGTCAAAGATGAGTCAAAAAGAGAAAAGGGAGTTTTTATTCAAAAGTGAAGTCGACTCATACGATGTTAGCAAAGTATTGTACTACAGACCAGAAGTAAAAATGTACCGAAATAGGAGTTATTTTGCCAAAATGATAGTTCAGATCAATACAATTACAGAAAAATCATTTATTTTATTTTTCATCAGAATTTGATAAAACTAGAAGAAGAAAGAAATAGAATTTCCGAAGAAATTGTTTCATTCAAAAAATATCGTGGCAAATCAAAAAATTCATTTCGATGGATTCGGAAAGCCATTCGAGCTAAATTTAGACCTGGTTTGAAAAAGGAGGACAACTTTAAACTGGAGTCATTGTTGGCCAAAATTCAAACGAAAATACAAATAGAACGTGAACGAAATAATGAATTTCGAAGATTTCTACTTCTGTTGGAGGACAAAGAAGAAGGAGATATTCGGAATGTTCGTAACTCTATAAGAGGGCTAAAAAGCCGTATAGCTAAGAATTTGCACAAAGTGACACAGATTCGAAAACGTTTGGGGAACAATCAGAGCAATTCAGATGTAAATATCGAGCCATTTCAATGTGCTTCTGGATTCCTTGGTACAGATATTCGCAAAGAATATTTACTCCAAATTGAAAATCCAGTCTCGACTTCAACAGATGGATTTCTTCCAAACTATTCTAAAAGTCTTACTCACAAAATGGACAATTCATCTTGTAATCATTCAGCAGCTGGTGTTCAACTTACATATTTTGCATAGCATGCAATTTTCTACATATATATATATGTCAACTCTATATTATATTATTTTATAGTTCCATTCTATCAATAAAAATTTATTTGTATTCGATATTTAGAAATAAATTTTATTGATAGACACATAAAGTTTGATATGTTAGTCTGCTTCTGTCGCATATATTCATTGGACGGTGCTCCAGAAGTATGCACACCAAGATGTCGCACAACCTGAATCCCAACCGGTACAGACATAATATGTTCAGGTTGTGCGCCATCTTGGTGCGCATACTCCTGGAGGTCCCATTGGACAAACAAATCAAAGAGACGTACAAAAGTAAAGAGCCATTTAAGAAGTTTCCCAAAATAAAAAAGTCCTATTTCCAGTGTCACTTATGCCACCGTGCACCATAAGTATGCCAATTGGCGATATAATGTAACTAGAGGGCTATATTGGAGCCTTTCCTCGAAGAAACATCAATTACCGTAAGGAAGAGTATTTAAAATTAGGGCGAATATTACCATATTTATGAAACCTTACATGCTCAGCATTATTTCAAAAATAAATAGACTAGCAATAAAAAATGAAAAAGATTTCACGTTTTTAACTAAAATTTCAGAATGGGTTTGAATAAAAGTATTTTTTGAGCGCTACTTGCATAATTTTGTACAGAATTTCCACTATTTGTAAACTTCAGGGAGACTCCTTTCCAGTATTAACCAAGTTATGCGCAGTGTAATCTGCTTTTAGGCTTATTTAATTGAACAATTTATGCAATATTTGTTTTCAGTCTATACAAAACGTAACTTTAAACCAGAATTGACGTCCAGCTACAGAAGCATAATTATGCTAATTTAGATTCAGTGGATAATCCTTTAGTTGATCTGCTTTCGTGTACGTCGATGTAGATTTCATTGTCCAATTTTGTTAGAGTTGCCAAAATCAACAAATTTTAATAACGCTGTGACGCATCCCTAAGCTTTAACAATAGCTTTAGAATTTACTGATATATTGATTTCATTTTTATGTTTTAAAGAATTTTTAATGATGCTGCTCAGAAAAATAATGTGCTTTTCATTGGTATCGGGGATGAGGAACATTTTCAAATATCTGGGTCGAAATTGTGTTTTTATCACGGCAAAAAAATATTGTGCTTTTCAATGGTATCGGGGATGGGGAACATTTTCAAATGTCTGGGTCGAAATTGCGTTTTTATCACGGAAAAAAAAGTGGATCAAAGATAATTAATCCAAATCTCCATCAATGGGGAGCTTGCTTTTGCGACTAGTCCTATAATCCTTGGTTTGTATTGTGTAGTTTTGAGCTTTGAACATGAAGTCCTTGTATCGGGGCTGAGATTGATTTCCTGTTTTTCCTTGTAATCGATTTTATGAAATTCTTGTGCGAAAACACGGATGCTCATGAATATAAACACCATAAAACGTTATAGTAATACGGCAAATCTTGCCATAGTTTCAAAAGAGTTTGGAAGAAAATTCTATTCTGAACAAATTATATTTTCGAACGACTTACAACCATTCCCATACAACCAAGTCCCATTCCTCTACATTGTTATTTTAAATTTCTGTAATCGTTAATTTCCTATTAAAGTTCCTTTTCCAAATGACAGCTGAACGTTATTAAATAAAGGCAGTTCTTATGAATAGATACAATGCAGAACGTGCGTGCCGGGGCAATCTTCAAAAGACAAGGATCGGTAGCGCTATAAACGCTCTTCAGCGAATATAAAAGTTAATTGTTGCAGTAATTCAAAGCTGCTTGCGCACCACTAGTGGTGCGCGTACCTCAGGTTGAGAACAACTGCTCTAAAGCATGCCATAGATTGATGACTTGTTGGAACAAAATTTCGGAAGAAACCATACGTGCCTTGTGCAGTCAAGTTCCAAACAGACCGAGGCGTGTAGTGGAGGCAAAAGAAGGATATATCGAAAAATAACAATGAATTCTATTATTCATCTTTATAATGCTATTTTCCGCAGAATATTTTTTTTTTCTCTTACATTCATATTGTAGATATTTCAATAAACATTTGTCTACACTTGGTCTGATCACCATGTAATATCACCATGTAATATTCTCGGGAATTAACCTTAAAATAACAGAAGACTTTTAATATCTTCTTTAAAAGAACGCCACCCATGCACATAATAACAGTCTGATTAGAACGGTAAACTCTCGATGTTTATTAAATTTAAAGTAAGTAAACTCGCGATATTTCAATCACTTTTGGGTTTTCTCCGACTTGCGGCCCGCGAGACCTCCTCGAAAGTTTTTGCGGTTCTTCAACCTAGCAACCTTGAACCACCCTGAGGTAGACTACTAGGTACCGGTAAAATTTCAAACTACAGTTGTGACTTGTATCCTTTGGTATTTCAATTCACGTTGAGACTGGAGGCATGAATCTTTATTGTCACACTTCCTCAGAATTAGAGCTCAACCGATATATCGGCCCGATATTGCGTGTTTGCCGATATATTATATCGGCAGTAAACGGCTGATATATATATATATATCGGCTATATATAACAGTTAAAAAAAACTAAAAATGTTCGTAAAAGTTGTTTTATTTACTGTTGGTTGTGGTTATTTTTAATGGAGAATACACTTATGTGGTTTATTGTTTTTATATTTAAATTACACATGAGGGGGCACCAAAGTCTTCAGTGCTTAGGGCACCAAATGGGCTTAATCCGCCCCTGGTAGGCGGTATTGCAGCTTGATTGCGGTTAGTTAGTCTAAGTTACTGTGCGATATGTCATCAAATAAGCAACGAAAGTACGAAGATAAAAACAGAGTTGTCAAGTCAGAATGGGAAGAAGAATACGCATTTACCAGTCAGGAGAATAAACCTTTGTGCTCAATCTGCCATAAGCTACTAAGTCAGAATAAAGTCAGCAATGTTAAACGGCACCATGAAACAAGAATCATGAAAACTTCTTACGAGACTACCCTCGTAAATCAGCTCAAAGGAAACACAAATTAATTGAGCTCAAATTGTGCATATATTTGAGCATAGCAGATTTGTTTATCTATTTATCGTTATTAGACTCTTGTGTGAATTTCTTTTCTGTTCATGGTATTTTAATAATAATGAATTCACAAATTCTGCGGCTCTTTTGCAGCATGCGGCTCTTATACTAAAAAATTGTTCCCACCCCTGCTATATACTATAGCCTACATACATAAAGACATAATGAAACTATTGGACGCCTCCGTTTTGCGGTATGTTAGATGTGGGTTAGACTCTGTTGTTTGGGCGCCAGCCAAAATCCAAAAGTTTCAAACTTTTGTTGGAAATAAAGAGACGGAACAAAATCGGATCGTATATTTAAAAGTGAAACAATACTGATATAAAACTATTTGGCGCCAAATTGAATACATCTCCGTCCTCGAATCCGATAACAACTGTAATATATATCCCAACTGTACTTGAAGATGTTCAAAAGACTATATTTGAAACTATAATAAGCATCATTGTATCAAACTAGAATTACCTCAAGCATAAATATGATTTTCCACCCTCTTCAAACGCACTTGGCGGAATATCTCCAGTCTGTGGTCTTTCTGGAGTCTTTGATAATATTTATATAGGGTGATCAAACCCAAAGTAGACAAATGTTTTTTAAAATATCTACAATATAAATGTAAGAGAGAAAAAAATATTTTGCAGAAAATTCAAAATAGCATTATAAAGATAAACACTAGAATTCATTGTTATTTTTTGATATATCCTCCCTTTGCCTTCACTACACGCCTCGATCTGATTGAAACTTGACTGAAAGACGCACGTATGGTTTGTTCTGAAATTTTGTTTCAACAAGTCATCAGTCTATGCCTTAGACTTAGAATAGTTGTTCTCAGTCAGAGTTACGCGCACCACTAGTTTCATGGAAGTATTTCAAGTGGTAAGAAAGCATCTTTGAATTATTGCAACAATTAACTTTTGTATTCGCTAAACGGCGATTATAGCGCTACCAATCCTTGTCTTTAGAGATCGCCCTCGCCCATTACTGTCCACCTGAATCGAAACGGGCATGTTTTTGCCAATTTGCGCGTTACGTTACAGTACATCTCATCATATTCACCAAATTATCCGAAACCTCGTACGAATACACTTTGAACAGTGCTAGCTGCTATCGCGAACGCTCCCTTATATGCCGATTTATTAATTAATACAGACGCACTGTGATGTAACATGCGAAACGGCGAAAACAAGCCTGTTCCGTTTTTAATGGACGGTAACGGGCGAGGGCGATCTTCAAAAGACAAGGATCGGTAGCGCTATAAACGCTCATCAGCGAATACAAAGGTTAATTGTTCAATAATACAAAGCTGCTTGCGCACCACTAGTGGTGCGCGTACCTCAGGCTGAGAACAACTGCTCTAAAGCTAGTTCAACGCAAATAGCATGCGCTATTAACACTAAGTTGTTAAAAAGTATTGGAATCCACAGTAACCATCAATCTGTGCTCTCGTTAAACTACAATAAGAGCAAATAGGTAAATCTATTCTGTAACATCAGAACAATGAAGCAATACAGGGCAAAACAAACAAAAATCAGTAAAGTAGGAAAAATCTAGAAAGATTTAAGAAGTGCTGATACTCACCCCAAGCAGCGAACAACATATTATTGTAAATTGAAAAAAAAAAAGTTTACAAAACAAATAGATAATTCGAACATAAATACTTGAGTGTGGAGATTGAACACACAATTTATACTATATTGTATACAAAAAATAACGAAAGTGCAACAAACAAACAAGCGGTGCACAATACGTGACTCTCAACACTCGTTACTTACTTTCCACTGTACGCTAAATACCAATATCAAAAGCAGCCCAAAAATTATCAACAAAAAACAGAGTAAAATAGAAGAAGAACATTCCACGCCCCGGCGTTCCAACTTCAGTGCGAATAGTATTAATAAAAATCCATGTGCTTTGTGAAACTTGCGCTGTCCATTGTCCAAGCAGTCTTTAATAGAAAATTCATTATCAAATTTCACATCCAATTCCAACCACAGTCAAGTTTA